TGTCTAGTAGTTGTTTAAATTTATCAAGTGATGTTGCCTCGATGTTATTTATATTACATTTTTAAAATAGCGCGAATATCAAACATAATTTTTATACAAATTTTTTTGTTTAAAAAGTTGAACTGGTATGCAAAACTAATTGATCTAACATATCTGGCAAGTGTTGTTCCTCTCTGTCTCATTGATGGTGCATTTGCAGTATATTAACAGAAAGTAGAAACTAATAAAGAAGATAAAACAATAAGACTGGATAAAAGAAGCGTTGCTAAAAGCGTTTGCCATTGATGCATATTACAAACAGTTTCTCACGAGAAAGCTAAAGCATGGCGAAGCAGTTGATGTTTATTTGGTGTAACTGTAAAGATTATCTATGTTGATTGGTGGGCTACCAGACAGCAATTGCATGTGCCTTTATTTCTGAGCTCCCTGAGGAAGTTTGACAGATGCTGAAATCAAGTTCTTGTATTGATGATCTTTCTACTGTATTAATACTTGCGCGAGCAAGAGTACTCAAGATTGAAGAATGGATTGATGGAGCCAATTAAAGTTTTGCTACTGCTGCAACAAGAGTACCTGGTGAGCGGAGGTCGTTTGAAAATCAAACATCAATTTGCTATGAGTGTATACTCCCCAATCATTTTGCAAGAGATTGTCATCTACGAAGAAATAGTAATCGAAACAAGTCAGGTCGAAGACAGGAGACAAGCAATGTTTTGTGTTACTCCTGTCAAGAGAATGGACACATCAAAAATGTGTCCAAAATTTGTACAGAAGGAGAAGATGTTTGCGCCAGTTCTCCCCATAAACAATCAGTAATTGTGTTACCCTACTACTGGCTTGGACATTAACGGCGTTCTTTGGGATGTGTTGATCAACTCAAAATTTACTTGCTGCATCATTTATAAAAAATGTGCACCAAAAGTTATGAAGAAAGTAGTTAGCGTGGTAACTGTAAATGGACAACAACAATAGTGCGAAGGCATTAGTCAATGAAGTTTTGGTGTTTCTTGATGGGTATGAATGGAATAGTGGCTTTTGGTGAAATATCAATATCTGCAACTCATGATGTGTGCTTTATGATAAAAAATGAATCATGTTTACTTGGATAAAGAAGCGATATGCCAAAAGGTGTCAGTAATATAAATATAATAGCTCGGGATTTCACAGCTTTGTTTGACAAACAAAATTGAAGAATGCACATGATCCTTATATAGAAGATAACCAATAAATTTAAACCTGGCGATAAAGTATGGGTTAAACCCCCAGATAACCAAAGCAACTCTCAATACAAGATTGGAGTAATTACAGGGTAATTTTGGAGCAAACAGTAGAAATGGACAAGAAACAGTAGAAGTGGACAAAATGTGTTGTTATGTATGACATAAGACAAGTGAGAGTTGACAATGATTCAAATGAAAATCTTGGACAAGTAAGAGGTGAAAATGATTTAAATGAGGATCCAGAAGATGATGAAGAACTAAGTGTTGTGCTGCATGGATATAAAACAAACAAGACCCCAATGTTATGAAGACACATGTAGGAAAGGAGGGCCCCTGAGTGTTTAGTGTTTGAGACAAAGTGGTCATTATGACTGAGGGGAAGTGTAAAGTGTAATTATAGTTAATGATTGTTTTAAAGCTAACAATTGGTTAGCCAGAATGCTGGAATTTATTTTTTACCTTTATTTTAAACACATTTTGACACACACACTGTGTAAATTAATTTATAAAATTATTGTCCTACTGGGCAATGAAGAAATATAGGTAAACCTAGGTAAAAAGTACATATTTATAAACGAACACAATGTAATTTTATTTGCATTAATCAATTATGTAAGGATTTCTGAAGTTTAGGAATATTGTGGTGCAAAAAAAGTGGCTATCCAGTTTTGGGCAAAAAACTAGCTCTTTTTTCATCAAATATGTTACCTGCCTCTGAGAATAGTCTCATTTTATATGTTACTTAAATTTTAAATAGTTAACAAATATAGGATGCCTGTTACAGTAAATATTTTTAAATTACCCTACATTAAAAATGAAAAATAAACTAAAATTTTAAATATAAATATTGTGCAGGTTAAAACCTTCAATACTTAAAATTATAAAAACAAAAAAAGCAACATTGTTTTGGACATAATTTTACGACAATTCTGGATCCAGCTGGAATTTAAAATTTCTATTCCGGTACACCCCTAGTGTATTCTACAAATACAGGGTGACCAGAAAGTTCTGGCAAATAGTAAAATTGGCATAAAAAGGTATGTTGTCCAGGCCGCAAGCTGTAGAAGAGTCTAAGCAGGAAATCACTTTAGATACAGAAGCTGGAGTGATGCGAATGTCAAGCAATGGATTAATCTGTTTGACGGCTATATCAGGTAGAACGCAACTAGTGGAATCAAGAGGTGATATTGATGAAAAGTTCTTAGCAAAAAATTCAGCCTCATCTTTAGGTGAGGTGACAAAGTCTGAACCATACAAAAGAGGTGGAATTACAGACTTGCCCTTATTATTGATACTATTAAAGATTCTCCAGAAGTCACAAGAGCCTAATTTTTGTGATGAAATACGAGATTTCATGATCTGAGAATAGTTGGCTTTGGCGTTAGACAAAACCTTTTTACAATGGTTCCTATCAGTAATAAACAGGCGTCTGAGAGGGAATAAAAGAATCCATGCCAGCCTGAATCCATGAAGTTATGTAAGAAGCACATTTATCAGCAGGAAGACGAAAGATTTCTACCCAAAAGCCATCACGAAGAAAATCACGGAAAAAGTCATAGTCCGCTTTAAGGTAGTTGTAAGATGTACGATGAAAAGGGGATTCTGATGATAAAGAAGAATGAGATAATAGTTTTAGAGAGATCAAACCATGATCGGAAGCACCGATCATGGTTTGATGGTGTTTCTGATCCTAGTCAGTGCTCTGTTTCTCCACATTAACCACCAAGGGTTAATTCAAATGGGTGAATTCTTATGAATGTAAATGCCCAGGCCAAGCATGTGACTATTGGAGTCTTTATGAATTAAAGGGAGATAACCATCAACACTAAGATCACAAGATGAGACAGCTGAACTCAAATTAGTCTCACAAAGAGCAAGTGGGTCTGTTGAACTTTGCAAGAGATAAGACTCAACAGAAGAAAAGTTACTTCGAAGACCACGAATATTAGTGAATGATAGGTTTAGCGAACTTGGTGATGACTGTGGTTTTTTGTGTTTTATAGTTTTTGTTACTTAATTCATTTTTTAATTTGTTAAAGAACTTGACTCGAAACATAGATAGTACTCATTACACTGTTTAATAGCCCAAGCAATTGCCTCATTTCTACTAATAAACCCTAAGCCGTAACAAAGGGCTTTAATGTGGCCTCAGCAATGCACACCAAAAGTACAAACAGGGACACCATCCATGCGCAACATGGCACTATTAGTACTTTGATATTTTTCAGCTGTTGATGAAACCAGCCTCTCTGAGAGCTACCACAGAGTTCGGGAAACCTGACTACCAGCCGGCCTCAAAACCATAAAACTGAGTTTTAGAGCTGTACCCTCATTAGGAGATAATAGAATGAGTTGCCTAGTCATAAAAACAGAGACACAAGCAAAACCCATGTATCGAGTCAAGAAGATCCAGCTTTCAACATCCTAAACTGGAAACAATGTATTAAAAATACATCTGCGCCAGCCTAATAGATGAAGAAGGGGTTCGAGGCTGGACAACAGATAGAATCAGTTTACCCCTTAAGTCTTTGTCTAGGAGGCCTTCTACAAGACAACAGGCGGATGCATTTAACCTCCGCCCAAGATTAGTATTTTTATTGATACACCATCTCTAGCCTTTACTCAACCAAGAGCCCCAAGGCAGGGGGTGTTTTATGTCAGAATTGGCATCTCCTAGCCTTTACCTAAAAAAGCGTATCCTACAAGGCAGCAGGACATGAAGCAGTTTTTACTGGGTTACATGTTACCTGTAACAGGATAAACCTGACCTGACAATATAATATAATATATATGGTTAGAATTCAATAAACACGGCTGAATATAAATCTTTTTAAATAAATATATCTCCTCCCCCCATATATACAATTATTTCGATACTCTGCTGATCCATCGCGATCAGCGTCAACAAAAAAAAAACAAAAAACAAGAAAAAAAAAATTATATATATATATATATATATATATATATAATATATATTTTTAGTATTTTTAACTTTTGTTTTCTCTCCATCAATTTACATATAGTTACAAGTTTATACTATACCACAATTGAATATTAAAAAACATCACTCCTACTAATTGAGAATTAAATGCTTATATCTCGTAGAGGTTAAACAACCGGATGTAAACTGTCTACTCATTTTGTTAAACAATTTGCTGTTTTAAACAAAATCTTCGCCTACAGCACATAAACTAAATTTGTATTTCTAAACAATGTTCTTTCTATGAGCAATCTAAAAAACCAATTAAAATGTAATAAATAAACTATAATCATTTTTTTTTTGTAAAAAAAAAACAACTTCAAAACTAAATAATCACTAATTCATAAATTTGCTATACATTTAATTTACTACACAAAATTTAATTGCTACATTCTTAAAAATATTATTGTCTGAAGCTATGCTATTATAAAGCAATCCTTTTATAATCAGTTAATCATTACCCCTATCGTAATAGAAAGCAAAAAATCCAGTTTTTTTTTTGCTGACCTTACGTCAGCTAAGGTCGGCACACTTGTGCCGACCTGAAATCCTTCAAATTTCGCTGACTTTATATATATATATATATATATATATATATATATATATATATATATATATATATATATATATATATATATATATATGTATATATATATATATATATATATATATATATATATATATATATATATATATATATATATATATATATATATATATATATATATATAACTTTAATTAAAATACTGAGGTTTTTAAATAATGTATTTTTTAAAGTTTTTCTCTAAATTTTTTTTTAGTGTGACACTAAACCATTTCTTTTATCTTCATCATGTTTGGAAAGAATGGCTTTGGTTATTGATGTAAACATAATAATATTTGATGAATCTTGTTCTAAACACTTATGTACATTTACTGCAGGTAAACTGTTTAGTAATTTTATTAAGTAATATGTGTTGATATTATAATATTAAAATTTATTTTTGAAAAGAATTTTTTTTTTATTGTGAAATTAAAGGAAAAATATTCATTAGTTAGGAAATTTTTCTTGGTACAACACACAAAAAAGCTTATGGAAATAACCAGCATGCCAGAATGTGTTATAGTCCTGACCAAATGAAGATCTTATCGCCTTTGGAAACAAGTTTCGTATAAGTTGTTTGCCCCAGTTAATTAATTTTGAAATTTATAACACAAACTGGGTAAACTTTGATACTTTCTTTGCAACCCTTTTACTCAAGATTGGCTCTTACTCTCACAGTTGTGTGCCAATCTATCTATATTATCTATCTTACTCTCACAGCCAACCTATCTATATTATTGAAGAAAAGAGTTTAATGAACACTTTAATAAGACTATAACATGAATGTTGTTTAGATTTTAATTTTTTTTTGTGTTAGATTTTTTCTATGACATGTTTAACTGTAGAAGAGTTTAATTGAGAATTAAGTTAAGCTATAAAATTTTTGTTTGTCAGAGATGTCAGTAAGAAGTAGCAGAAGACTAATGGTAAAGCTTTTGACTTAAGTGATGAGATAAAAATCAAGGGGCAAAGGTGTTAGAATTGTCATGAATGGAGAAGGAGGGTTTGGAAAGAAGAAAGGTTTGAAAGTTAACTAACTTAGTGGTAGATTGTGAAAGGTATATGGTCAATATATATATATATATATATATATTGACCATATACAGTTTATTTAATATGCAATTATATAACTCGTTATTGAAAATGAAATATCTCATTAAAAATCAACAAACGTCTAATCAATTTTTGTAGATAATATAAATAGTGTTGCTTTATAGTTATGAAGTTATTCAAGTTATCCAGTCATTCAAGTTTTTCAAGTTATTCAAGTTTTTCAGTAAAGATAGTAATGGCATCATCTGGTAGAAGAGTTACATTAGCAACATTTTTGAGTTGGGGTAAAGATGGAGTCTGTGGAAAAGAAACTGAGGTGGAGAATGGAACAATTTTTGTTGTGAAGATATGGTGTATGGTTTGTATAAAATATAAAAAAGAATTGCTTCGCGAGTTAAAAGGTCTGGCAAAATCAAAAGCATTAGCATTTATAGAGGGCACTATGAACGTTAAAGCTAGCAACATACATACGCTTATATACATGCTTATATTGTATATAAAGTAACGGAAGCCCCGCTATCTTAAGAAATTATTAGTATTTCTAAATAAAAACTTATTTTATTAAAAGAAATTAGATTTCAAATTTTTTATTCACGTATCAGAATAACTATTTCCGATCAGGATAGGCATAGGTAAAGCAAAGTTATAAAAATATAAATAACAGTTTAAGTTTTTAATTTGCACGCCCAATAGAATGCAAGAATATATAAATAATTGAATTTGAAAAATAACATAGTTACGTATCATATTACCAAGCTAATACCAAACAATTCTAAAACTATCGAGCTCATTGATTCAAGGTTAAAAAAAAAAAGATTTCAAACCATTTGCTGAATAATTAAAAAAATTAGATTTTGAAAATATTATGTAATATTTTTATTCACAAAGAATAAGAGAAACGAATGAACTAAAAAAGCACGATAAAAACCTGTATAATTTAATCGAATACTTGAATAAAACAATAATATATAAATATACTCAAAAAGACTTCGGTAAAAAAACACGTTAGGATGCTTGAATAAGGAAACGTGATGAAACGCCATGGTTGTTTCGAGGATTTTTCCCGTCGTTTTCACGTTCATTCGTTTGACTATATCTGCCAGATATTATCTGGAATAAAGATTAAAAAAAAAAACATAAAAAACTGAATAAAGTTCCTTCGAGTAAGAAATCTAAACAAAAGCAACCATAAAACAACTAACCCACGTGAAACGAAATTAGATCTGTGCAAGTGAAAACTTTGAAAAACAATTATTGAAATCTTAGTTTTAAGTATTATCCAACTCATTTACTGCAGTGTTTTAATTACTTAAGTAATTAAGCATTTTAAACACTTAATCGTTTTCTAACATATTATTTTAGTGCAATTCACAAAATGTTTAATATTCAATGACATTTTCATTCAAAAAGAAGAAGAGAAATTAACAAATTTAAAAAAAAAAAAGTTCAAACTTTAGAATTTTTTTTAAAGTTTAAAAAAGCCAGTGCAAGACCATCTAGACGGGCGGCCCTCATAGCCCGCCAAGTCTATTTAAGACGGGCTTTTCATAGCCCGTACGGTTTTTATTCCTGCCGAAGCCTGTATATATATATATATATATATATATATATATATATATATATATATATATATATATATATATATATATATATATATATATATATATATATATATATATATATATATAAATATAAATAAATAATAGGTCCTTAAAAAAAAAGCCTTAAACTGTGGTTAATTTCTATAAAAATTTAAAAATTATATTTCTATAAAAACTATATTTCTACAAAAATTTATGTACACGAGGATATCTTTAAATATATATATATATATATATATATAAATATTTATTTAAAGATATCCTCTCTCTCTCTCTATCTCTCTTTCTCTCTCCCTCTCTCTCTTCTCTCTCCTTGGTCCTGTTTTGTTTCTTATCTACATTGTTGATTTTCCTGACAACCTTACATCTAAAGTGGCTCTATTTGCTGATGACTCAGCGTTAGACTCCTGTCTTAACAAAAAGATCTTGAATCTGATCTCGCTTCTGTAACATATTGGGATTTGCAGTGGTTTTTGAATTTTAGCTCCATCAAAACTCACTTATTTACTGCAAACAACTATTGTAATACTGTCATTGATGAATGGCAACCCTCTCACTGAGTCCTCTTTTTTGTATCTTCTTGCTTTATTCATCGATCAAACAGTGTCAACCTTAACGCTAATGAGAAGAAAAAACAATCTTTAAACAAAAGAATTTTAGTCAATTTCAGTCTTAATTTTCTTGACTTTGAAATCAAAACATATTGGCATTAAAGTTAAATATAGCAGCTTAGATAATGAGTTTTTAAGTATTTCCCCGAAAAACCAATGGACCCTACCTTTTTTTTTCTCTAAAAAACAATTAAAAAATACAAGAACCAAAAAAATGAATCATGTTTGTAGTCATGAGTCACAGATCAAACGGCTGCTAATTCTGCCATATTTGCTAATTTTGCCATATTTGCTATTTCATATTTGCTAATTTTGCCATATTTACATTCTGCAGATTAAACTATAATTTGACCAAGATTATTAATACACAGAAATTACTTATAATAAATTTGATACAGTTTTTGCACATATATAAGAAAATTTGACTACATTTAATTTTCTTTTTTTAATATTGTTATTATAAACATAAAATTTACATGTATTTATATTTTTAGATTCATTAATTGATGCATTTGGTTGGGCAGACGGCGGAGACTTTTTAGTTTTTGCAGACAGGTAATGTTAAATCTGGTACTAATCTATTACTGCTCTATAGGTTCATTAGGAAGAACCTTCCTGATGAACCTAATAAAAATGGAATTTCCCATATATATAAATTTTGGTAGTGTTTTCAAATAGAGTGCTCAATGCTCTTAAAGAACAAAGCAATATTAAATTAAAATTAAATTAGTAAAAATCCTTCAGTAGGTTCATCAGGAATCTTCTTGATGAACCTACTGATGGAGAAACAAGTTGTTAAAGACAAAAATTAAATAAGTGTTATTACTAATTTAATTTATTATTGCTTTAAGAGCATATATATATATATATATATATATATATATATATATATATATATATATATATATATATATATATATATATATATATATATATATATATATATATATATATATATATATGTATATATATATATATATATATATATATATATATATATATATATATGTGTATATATATATATATACATATATATATATATATATATATATATATATATATATATATATATATATATATATATATATATATATATATATATATATATGTATATATATATATATATTATATATATATATATATATATATATATTATATATATATATATATATATATATATATATATATATATATAATATATATATATATAAAAATTTTTTATTATTCATTAGTTTAATATCATGTAAAGTTCTTTTGACATAATACATTTATGAGCATAAATTACATTTTCAAACATCTTATTGGTAACTGATAAAATCTATTGATAAATTGTTTATAATATTTATTAAAAGTTAATTACTTAATTAAATATGCAAAGTTTAAAATTAATAAATAAATTGTGATAAACAAACAAAAGATTATGTTAAGTATAAGATTTTTTTCAGAAATAAATTATAAGGAAATTTATTCTTTTTCAAATACCGAATTTAGATTCTATCAATAACTTTTGGTTAAATTTGTTGAAATGATTTTTAACGCAGTTTAAAATTAAAGTTAATTACGAAATGAATTACTTTCAAAGTATCAATAGTTTTCAGGTTTCTGTAACAAACCAGATCCTAATAATTAAAAAAAACTTGGACTTTTTACAAACCTGACCCTAGAAAAATTTTAAGTTTTTGCATTAAAAAAAAATTAAGTTTATAATTATTGAGCATTAAAGTTCTTTTAAATTTTTCCAATTTTTTTTTTCTATTTCAAATTAAAAAAAAAAGTATAAAAATAACTTGCTTATTTATAGAAAATGCTTTATATCTTGATATCGCTTTAAATAAAATGAAAATATAACAAAAATACTATTGCGTTTTTCATATTCTATTCCAGATTTCTTGTCAAAATAATTTTTTGGTAAAAGTTTATTATGTGTTAACAACTTATAAGATATAAATAAAAACATTTGTATGGCTAACTTTTGCGAGTCCTTGAGTTTATTATGTAAATTTAATAGCTGAGTAACTTAATTTTAATAAGTTAGCTGGTTCTTTTGATTTAGTTTATAGGTAAATTTATTGTTATGTACCATTGAATGTATGATGATCCATTAAGTAAATCAAACTAAATATAACTTGAAAATATTCTAAATATCTCTGCGTGGCTTCCATGCAGAGATTTAAAGTATTTTAAATTCAAAAATTTGTTGTATAAAAATCTCTGCGCAAGTAAAAGGCCTTCAAAGGCTTCTTGGCAAAGACTTAAGAGATAAGCACAATAATTCTGTTGATCAGCCTTGAACCCCTTCTTTATCTATTATGCTGACATAGATGTAAGCCTTTGTTATATTGTTTCCTGCCTAGGATGGTGCATGATGAGTCTTCATGGCTCTATTCATTGATTTTTACTTGTGTCTCCTTGATAATGGCTATGCAACTCTTTTGATGCTCAGTTTGATGGTTCTGTGGTCAGCTGATAGTAAGGTTTCCCGAACTCTGTGCTAGCTCTCAAAGAGACTGATTGCATCAACAGCTACAAAATATCAAAGTATTAGCAGTGCCATGTTAATACTCTGGACTAAGGACTAAGACAACTGCATAGCTCATTGCTTTAGATGCCACGTTCTATCAATGAATGAGTCAAGTTCTCTTTACACTTAAACTATTCCCAAAGTAACCAAAAGTATTAAACATAAGTAACCATCTCTACCACCTGTTTCAATATATCTTTCTCAAATATTCGTCTTTAAAGTAACTTCTATCAGTTGAAACTTACCTTTTTCAAAATTCACCAGACTTGCTTGCTCTTTATGAGACTAATTTATATTCAGCTGTTCCTTCTTCAGATCTCAGTATTTATGGGTACTATTCTTTGATTTGCAAAGATTCCAATAGTCACATACTTGGGAGTACTAAATCTGGAGAACATTCTGACTTCTCTGACTCTCTGAGCAGTCATTCTCTGACCCCTCCAATTATTGTCCAATCAGTCTTCTTTCTGTTATTAGCAAGGTCTTTGAGTCTTTGTTCAATAAATTTCTAACATCTTATCTTGAGTCAAATAACTTACTGTCAGACAATCAAAACAATTTTATATCTTCTTGCTCTAGGGCTGAATTGATAACTGCTGTAGCTGAAAGATTTTATTGTGCATAGGTGGAAGAAGGAGGTTAGGGCTATTACTCTTGACATATTTAAAGCTTATGTTAAGATTGGCATGCTATTATGGTGTAACTTGGAAAGTTTTGGAGAATATGAAATCATTTTTTTTAACGCTTTCTTAAAATCATCCTTAAAGGCCAACACTCTTCTTAATATCTAATAACTCCTGGGGTACCTCAAGGTTCTATCTTTTGTTCTGTTTTGCTTCTTATCTACATTAATGATCTACCTGACAACCTTAATTTTAACGTGGCTCTATTTGCTGACGACTTTTCAAAACTTTATACTCCTATCTATACAAAAAGTCTTTTCTTTAAGATCGTTTAGAACAGGCATGCAATCTTTAATCTGATATCACTTCTGTAACAAATTGGGGCTTGCAGTGGCTTGTGAATTTTGATTTCAAAACTTATTTACTGCAAACCACTATTGCAATTCTCTATTCTCTACATTCCTTCATTACTGAATGGTAACCCTCTCACTAAGTCCTCTTCTTTACACCTTGTAATATCATTCACTACTGACCTTGCATTAAAACCATATATAAAATCAATTGCAAAGTTAATCTCTGCTAAGGTTGCTAAGGTTGCTTCCCTTTATCATGTTCACCAATATCTTACTCCTGATTCCATTCTCTGCCCCTTACAAATCTCTTACTTGTCCCTCTTTAGAATACTGTTGTCTTATTTGGGCTTGTTCTTGTAATGATGGTCTTTCTCATTTAGACAAGGTGTGGACCTTGTCCAAATTGTAAAAATAGTTGGACCTGTTTTATCTGCCAAGCTTGAGTTTCTCTTCCATTGTTGTAAATTTATATCTCTTTCTCTTTTCTACAAATACTATCATGGTTGCTGCTCGAAAGAGCTATTATCTCTAATTCCATTAACCAAAACTCATTCTCCCTTGACTCATCATTATGTAAAGTTACATTGTTTTACTGTATCTGGTCCTGCATGCTCTTAAAACTTTTATTTGTCTAATTTTTTTCCCTGCATTTCAATCCTTCGGAACTCTCTTCCATCTCCAACTCATACAACTTCTTTGATTTATAGTAACTTGTTAACTCCTAACTAAATAGTGGTTGCTTGCAGCCTTGTTAGGAGTTAATTAAAATAAATAAAAATATATATTTACTTATAAACTATTTTCTGCACATTGCAACGTGAAATTGTTTGCACTCGTTGCATTCTTAAATTATTTAAAAAATAAAACTTTCTAACATTAAAAAAAGAAAAAAGCATTTTGAAAAATCATTTGATCATATTGGCTATAATGTTTAATATATAAACTTGAATTAAGATTATCAATTAAATAAGTTAAATTAATTAAATATATATTAGTTGTTTAGTAGCTATTTCATAAAAGCCTATCAATTTATGACCTCAAAAAAATAAATGGTTATGGAAATCCTAATCAAATAACTAGTATAAAAAATTTACCCAATTTCAGCAAGAAAATGAAATTCTAGATATAAAACTAATCAAATAGTTTCATGTTACAGATTTTTATCTGAATAAACCAGTAATCAAAGTTGAAAACTTTTTTTATTGCTGCTGCCTTAAAATCTGTAATAATTGTCGCACAATATTTGTTTTGTATGTGAAGCTATGGAGTTTAAACTCTGTTATGTCCCTGGTATAACAAGTTCAGCACAGTATAATACTTTAAAACTTAAAATTGTTTATGCTTAAAATTTTATCTGTGTGCGTGTGTATTTATAAATATGTATGACTAGATTATATTATAAAACAAATGAATATACATATATTCATTTATTTTATAACATAGTCTATCACTTATATGTATATATACAGGCCTATTCTTGGAAAAAAATTTGGTTGGCGGTACCTCCCTTTTCCAGCAAAACTTAGCCAAAAATCAGCGTTTTTTCGCAAAAAAAAAAACAATGTTTGCTGTAAAAAATTGGTGCCCAAATATGGTTGACGCTGTCAAAAACGGTCTAGAATAGCCCCTGATATATATATATATATATATATATATATACATATGTATATATATTTATTATATATATATATATATATTTATTATATATATTTATTATATATATTTATTATATATATATATATATATATATATATATATATATATATATATATATATATATATATATATATATACATATGTATATATATTTATTATATATATATATATATATATATATATATTTATTATATATATATATATATATATATATATATATATATATATATATATATATATATATATATATATATGTATATATATTTATTATATATATATATATTTATTATATATATATATATTTATTATATATATATATATATATATATATATATATATATATATATATATATATATTCACTTTATCATGTAGTTAGTAATTTTTTAAGTTAATCTTTTATTTCTTTTTAGATCTGGTTTTCTTCATTTCACTCATATTGGAACACAGCGAATAATCTTTACAAAGGTAGGTATTAAAGATTAGCTGCTTGTTCTAAGCAATCAAAAGTTGAATAGAATCATTTTAAATGTAAGATTGTCAGGAAGATTGTTATTGTAGATAAGAAACAAAATAGGAGCAAATACGGAACCTTGCGTTACCCCTAAATTTACTGGAAATAAAGAAAAGTGTAGGCCTTTGAGAATGAATTTAAAACTTTGGTTAGAAAGAAATAATTTAATAATCTCAAAACTATTATATAAAGAAACTAATAATAGAAGACTAATTTAGAATAGTTAAAGAGGTCAAAGTTTCTAGAATTTTAAAGACTAGAACTGCTTATTTAGTACTTAAGAATATTTTAGCAAGAATTAAAAAGAGAATGCTTTTTAAGACTATGATGGAAATGTTGTATAAACTACAATAAAGGAGTTTAATTGAGAATTGGCTTTAGTGAAAGCCTAATGAGTTATATGTCTATCAATGGGTTGACCTATTTAGTTGGAGCAACAGTAAGAGTATTGCCATTTAATTTAATAATGGAATAAGAGGAGTTCTTTGCAAATAGTTCTGCTTTATCCTTGGGAGAAGTAATAAGATCAGACCAATGAATTACTGATGAAATGTTAGACTTACCTTAGTAAATGACACTGTTGAAGATTTTCCAAAAGTCTCAAATACCTAGCATCTTAGATATAGTTAAATTAGTAAGAATTAGTAAGAGTTATTAGTAAACTGAGAATAACAGAATATACACAGAACTTAAATTAATGGAGCTTAACACCAGACATGACCTTTTTACATTGACTTCTTGCAATAATGAAAAGACATTTTTTCTCAATTAAGGTGTTCTTGTAAAAAAGACAAAAAATAAATAAATAATAATAATAGTTTAATATTGCCACCGCACAAGATGATTATAACTGTGGAGTGGAATGAGGCTTGATTTTAAACCAAAGAGAAGGAGTTATGGCTTTCATGCCTGCTTGGATCCAAGAGATTACGTAAGTAGTGTACTTATACATACATAATATGGAAATATATGCATAAAAACATATACTTTTGCTATTTATTTAGATACTGGGATGCAATATCCTTACATATTTGTATAAATTTTTACTATCTGTGTGGTTTAGTATTTGCTGAAAGAGTAGACAGTGATCACATAGATATGTGGTATGACTCTAACAAGACAGAAAAGGTGTCATAATCTTTGAAAGATTAGAAAAATACTTGTATCGAACAACTTGTCAAAGAAGAATAAAGTGGTTTGGGTATCAGTATGTAGAGAGATAGCTGCTTCAGGAGAAAATGGTAGAGGAGCTAGTAAGACAACTTAGTGAGACTGCATTGCATACTGTATGAACAAGCTTGAGATTTTTTATGTTAGAGAAACAACATAAAAGGGGAAGGCTAAAGCTCGATGATGATGATAATGATAATAATGATGGTGATGATATGGATCATGATGATTTTTTATATATTTTATATATATATATATATATATATATTTTTTAACATCTTCGCTTCCAACAAGGCTGCAAGCAACTACTAATTAGTGTTGGAAGTTACTGGAAGAGAAAAGATAAAAAGTGTAGAGCAAGATAACGATTGACAGACGACTTAAAAGATTGCAAATTATATGAATCAGGAAAGCAAAATGAAGGAAGCGAATTCCAAAGAACTGATGTTCAAGGAAAAAAACTAGACTAGTTTTTGGAGCACTTAGGAACAGTAACAGAAAAAGGATGAGACTTAATTGAATGACGAGTAACACGAGAATGAATTTGAGTAGATTGCACAAGAGATGCTAGGTCTTTAGAGCAGTGCCCATTATAGTATTTGTAGAAAAGAGAAAGAGAAGCAACATTACAATGATGTGACAGGTTGAAGGTTGGCTGCAAGAGCAGGTCCAACTATGTTTACAATGCGTTTTTGCACCTTGTTTAAAAGAGAATGGGCATCATTAGAAAATCCGCCCCAGATATGGCAACAGTATTCCATACAAGGCCGGATTTGAGATTTATAGAGATAAAGAATAGAATCCAGAGTAAGAAAGTGACGAGCTCGAATTTTAGCAGATGCTTATTTTGCAACGGATTTAATATATGGTTTCCAAGAAAGATCAGAAGTAAGAGTTAATCCTAGAAGATGAAAGGTAGGAGACTCATTGAGCACATTACCATTCATAAATATAGGAAGGTCTAAATTATTGCGATAACAATTGGCATAAAAAAATTGGGTTTTATCTGAATTAAAGTTCACCAGCCACTGTGAGCTCCATGCTGTAGCAGAAGTGAGATCCTTTTCAAGCTCAGATGCCCCCTGCAAGCAATCAGAGGGAGTTGGCTTCTTATCGTGACAAGAATAAATGGTAGTATCATCAGCGAACAATGCCACCTTAGATGTGAGAATATCTGGAAGATCGTTAATGTAAATTAAAAAGAGTATAGGGCCAAGGATTAAACCTTGAGGAACCCCTGAGGTTACAGAATAAGAAGAAGAGTGCTGACCATCAAGGATAACTTTTATACTACGATTGGATAGGAAGGATTCAATAATCTTAAAGATGTTTCCAGATACACCGTAAGAAGAAAGCTTATGGAGAAGACCAGCATGCCAAACTTTATCAAACGCTTTAGAAATGTCAAGAGCAATAACCTTAACCTCTCCACCTTTATCTAATGCGCGATAAAACCTATCGGTTATTACTGTTAGCAAATCAGCTGTAGAACAAGAAGATCAAAATCCATATTGATGATCAGAAAGTAGGTTATGAGATTCGAGATTAAGTGTTTGTTAATTAAAGATTCAAAAACCTTGCTTATGATAAGTAGAAGACTAATGGGACGGTAGTTAGACGAATCAGATCGCTCTCCAGAATTTTTAAAAATAGGGATAACAGATGCTGCTTTCCAGCAGGCTGGAAAACAAGACTCTGATAAGCACTTGTTAAATAGTTTTGAAAGGATAGACGACAGCTCTGGAGAACACTTCTGCAAGACTATAACAGGTATGTTGTCCGGGCTGCAAGCTGTAGAAGAGTCTTAGCAGGAAATCACTTTAGATACAGAAGCTGGAGTGATACGGATGTCGAGCAGTGGATCAACCTGTTTGACGGCTATATCAGGTAGAACGCAACTAGTGGAGTCAAGAGATGATATTGATGAAAAGTTCTTGGCAAACAATTCAGCTTTATCTTTAGGTGAGGTGACAAAGTCGGAACCGTACAAAAGAGGTGGAAAGATTCTCCAAAAGTCACGAGAGCCTAATTTTTGTGATGAAATACGAGATTTCATGATCTGAGTATAGCGGGCTTTGGCGTTAGACAAAAGCTTTTTACAATGGTTCCTAGCCGTAATAAACAGACATCTATTTTCTGGAGAATTGTTTTGCTGATAGATATGGAAATAATGGCTTCGATTGGCAATTGAAGCAGCACAATTTGAGGAAAACCATGGAGAAGAGTGAGGCTTGACTTGGAATCGTCAAGAGGGAATAAAGGATTCCATGCCAGCCTGAATCCACGAAGTTATGTAAGAAGCACATTTGTCAACAGGAAGACGAAAGATTTCTACGCAGGGGCCATCACAAAGAAAATCATGAAAAGAGTCCCAGTCAGCTTTAAGAAAGTTGTAAGATGTACAATGATAGGGGGATTCTGATGGTAAAGAAGAATGAGATAATAGTTTTAATGAGACCAAACCATGATCAGAAGCACCTAAGGGTGAGTGTGGTGAATCTGAGCACTGACTAGGATTAGAAACAAGACATAAGTTGAGTAGAGAAGGTAAATGATTCGGGTTGTCTGGAAAGCAAGTTGGAAAGTTAACTATTTGAGTTAGGGGTTGAGAAAGACAAAAGTTGTGGGCTTTAATGCCTGCGGAGTCACTGATACTAGAGCCAAGCCATTCAGTGTGATGAACATTAAAGTCACCGACAACAACAATTTTGGCTGATGGATAAAAAATGAGGGCTTGGTCAATATAATCAGAAATAACATCAAGAAGAGTGCAGTCTTGAGATGAGGGAGAGCGCTATAGAACAAAGAGGAAGGTGATAAAGTGAAGTGGTGCTAAATGAAAGCACATAAAAGAGTAGTCTGTGAATTCAAATCTAGTTTCCCGACAAATGGGTAAATTCTTACGAATGTAAATGCCTAGGCCAAGCATGTGACTTTTGGAGTCTTTACGAATTAAAGGAAGATAACCATTAACACTAAGATCACAAGAAAAGACAGCTGAACTCAAATTAGTCTCACAAAGAGCAAGTGGATCTGGTGAGCTTTGCAAGAGATACGACTCAACAGAAGAAAAGTTACTTCGAAGACCACGAATATTAGTGAATGATAGGTTTAGCGAACTTGGTGATGACTGTGGTTTTTTGTGTTTTATAGTTTTTGTTACTTAATTCATTTTTTAATTTGTTAAAGAACTTGACTCGAAACATAGATAGTACTCATTACACTGTTTAATAGCCCAAGCAATTGCCTCATTTCTACTAATAAACCCTAAGCCGTAACAAAGGGCTTTAATGTGGCCTCAGCAATGCACACCAAAAGTACAAACAGGGACACCATCCATGCGCAACATGGCACTATTAGTACTTTGATATTTTTCAGCTGTTGATGGAATCAGTCTCTCTGAGAGCTACCACAGAGTTCGAGAAACCTGACTAGCCGGTCTCAAAACCATAAAACTGAGTTCTAGAGCTGTACCCTCATTAGGAGATAATAGAATGAGTTGCCTAGTCATAAAAACAGAGACAAAAGCAAAACCCATGAATTGAATCAAGAAGATCCAGCATTCAACATCCTAAACTGGAAACAATGTATTAAAAATACATCTGCGCCAGCCTAATAAATTAAGTAGGGGTGCGAGGCTGGTCAACAGATAGAATCTGTTTACCCCTTAAGTCTTTGCCTAGGAGGCAAAGACAGCAGCTGGATGCATTTAACATCTGCCCAAGACGAGTATTTTTATCAAGACACCATCTCTTGCCTTTACTCAACCAAGAGCCCCAAGGCTGGGGGTGTTTTATGTCGGAGTTTGCATCTCCTAGCCTTTGCCTAAAAAGGCATATATATATATATATATATATATATATATATATATATACATATATATATATATATATATATATATATATATATATATATATATATATATATATATATATATATATATATATATAAGTACATATAAATACACATGCATATATATATATATATATATATATATATATATATATATATATGTATATATATATATATATATATAGTGATTTCGCCGGTTATCTGGTTTTGCGGTTAACCGGATTTTGTTCGAATATCAAATATCTATTTTCGAATAATAAAAACCAACTTAAAAATTTAACGAAGTTTTATAGTAAGTAACATCGTAATTATGACGATTATTGTTTGACAAATGTTATTTTATCAAAGATTATAATATATTTCTTTTATTAATTTAAATGTTAATTTAATCAGCTTTGTTTGATAATATATTCTTAAAACAATTTACAATAGAAATCTCAAAGATTTATTTCTTATTTTTAAAACTCAAGAAATACATTTTTAAGAAAGTTTCTTCAGAATATTATGGAACTCTAATTCGCTTTTTATATACATATACATATATATATATATATATATATATATATATATATATATATATATATATATATATATATATATATATATATATATATATATATATATATATATATATATATATATATATATATATATATATATGTATATATATATATATATATATATATATATATATATATATATATATATATATATATATATATATATATATATATATATATATATATATATATATACACACACATATGTTCACCTTCTATATATATCACCTTGGCCCAGGACAATTATAAGTTATTCATTTTCTTTTGTAATATTATTAAAGTCTATGTTTCACTTTTAATATAGCCATTATTCAGCCATTAAACAAAAGTAAAATGAAATAAAGTTTAAGCTCTGTGACTTCAGGATAATTATATAATCTTTATTATGGTTCATGTTATGATCAAAATGAATGTTTTATGTTGGAATTTTATATGTTTCATGTAGTTTTATTTGGTATTTATCATATGTTTTATTATCATATGTATATTATGAATCTAGAGACTAGCCAAAGGGCATATCACAAAACAATGCTTTTCTTCCATTTCTTTCATTGAACAGCCGAATGGAAATGGTGAGAAAAATTATTTGTGTATCTGATATAAAGAAGTTTTTTTTCAATGTATAAATAAATATCTTTAAATTATTTAAAATGTATAAATATATCTTTAAATTATTTCAATGTCATTTAAAATAAAAGTTTTTATTTTCAATTGATTTACATGGTCAAGCTTTCTAAGCTTTTAAATTGTTTCTTATAAATATTTATATGAACTATTTATTGTTACTACCGGTGAAGAGCAATTCAATTCTCTTTAAATGTTTTTTATGAAGGTTTATTTGAGCTATTTATTGTAACAACCGATGGAGAGGGTTTCAGATTTTCAAACATAAATCTTGAACAATTAAACTTAGGTAAATTGTTTCTATGCAATACTTAAGAAGTTTTTTTTTCTATTATTGTTGCTATAAGTGTGATTTATTTGGTTTTTTTAAATAATTTAGCCATTTTGGAAAACAATATTGAATTAGCAAGCAAGGTAAAAAATTTTAAACTTTTAACATTAATATGCAACAATTAGCACTTATTTAGGGAGATAATCTTGATATGCAACAGTTAGAACTCATTTAGGGAGATAATAATTTATTAAAAGCATTGTTTTTAGAAGCACTTTAATGGAAAATACCTTTTTCTTTTAACTTTTTAAATATTATCAAAATGAAAATAGTTTGCTTATGCTATCTTATTTTTGGCAGATTGACCAAGTCATAATTAGAAAGCCACCGTGTAAAGAAAATATTAGATAAAATAAAATCTAATAAAGATTCCAGTTACCAAAAATGATAAAATTGAGATCTAATTATTAGGTCAGAGAAAAAAAAAGATTTTTTGTTTTTATATTTGTTTGCACATTATTTTCTTTCGTTACATTATTATTAATTAAAACAAAAAAGATTTTAAAATGCCAAATAAAACTAGGTCTCATGACAACAGGAAAATTGTCTGCATGTTATCTATGAAAAAATGCACAAAGCATTATAGAGTAACTTAAGCATAAAGAATTGTTCAATTCTATTGATGATGTGATGTGATGTGATGTGATGCAAGATTGATGTGATGCAAGAGTTTCTCTAGGTATTTGTGAGGCGTGTGTATTATTTTCAAAATAGATGAGGGTGAAAATGTCTCCTTTTTTCTGATTTCTACACCATCAAAATTTGACCTAAGAGGCAAAATTGAATCTGCAACTTGATTTTTCAAATATGGTGCCTGAAGCTAACTGAAAGAGCCTATTGGAGACCAATAAAAGTTCACAAGAAAGAAGACAAAAGTGATGTGCTGACTGTCTTATGCCTTTACTACCCTTTTGGGTTAGGGCTTGTCACATAATTAAAAACAATGAACCCTAAGAGAAAATCTTAAGTTACTTGCTACACAATCAGACTGATTCATTGAATCAGATTTGATTGTAAAAAAAGGATATAACACCAGGAGCAAGCTAAAAAATTTCACAATCAAAAAGTGAATCTGAGAATTACATTATACATTACATCATCTGAGAGTTACATCAGATCTATTTCTGTTATTTTAAAGCATAAGGATTTCAGTAATGTTTAGCTGAAATAACATTTTGTCAATGTTTTAAGACAATACTTAGTTGCCCAAAAGCTTTTTAGTGTATAAGAATGTTGAAATCCTAGCCCCAGCCAATAACCCCTGCTAGAATTATTGTTAAGCTGGGAAGAGTTTCTGAAAAAGGCGGTACTGAGCAACAAGTCCTGGTTGCTGTATCAAGATTCTTCCAAAGAACTACAGTAACAGCAAGCAAATTTGGTCTCTGACTCAAGCTGATGCTTTGAGCTGGTTGAAGTTGACCAAAAATCTATTTGGACTTCAGTCTTATGCAAGCATTCATCCTTGCACACAGTTCAACATTGAATCAAGAAATCTTTAGTGTGTTAAAAATTTCCTGGAAGTTTTAAACTGGTCATATTTGTTAAATTTCAATTTATCATTTTTGGTAATTGGATTGTATGTGTTTTCACCCTGTATAAATGATTTACTTGGGTCAATCATTTCAAATTATGTAAGAGTGAATTTATATATGTTTTTTTCCATTTATAAATGCATTTTGTAGATATAATAATTATAAAATAGTTTTCATAAAAAGATGTTTAAATGTTTTATATTTTATTAGATTTCTTTTTTTTTAATTGTTTTGGTAGATTATCAAAAAATATTTTTATTATTTGTATTTACAATGCAGTTTATAAATTTTATATTTAAAATTTTTTTTTTCTTTTTTAAAATTTTATTTGTCTCTATATAGTTTCGTTTAGAAATTTGTAGAATAAAAATTCAAAGTAATATCTGGTCAAAATATGTTGACTGAATACTGCTTTAAATGTTTTAATTGGTTTCAAATTTATAATATTTTGACTTTTTATTTGATGAAAGAATAAAAGTAGTAATAATAATAAATATCTTAAAATATTTTGTTGACTATTAAAATGTTTTTAAAAAATCTGGCAACTAAAATGTCTTTGATTTTAAAATGTTCATTTTTTTCAAAACTATTAAAATGTAAAATTGCAATTTTTAAGTTAAGTCTAGTAACTAGTTTTTTAAGTTAAGTAGAATCTAGTAGCTAGAATCTAGTAGCTAGTTTTTAGATTTTGGTGGATTCTATTATTTTTTATGCAATAAACTGTTAGACTAGCTCTTGTTTTTTCATTAATGATTATTATATATTATAAATTAATAATTTTGTTAACATCTTCAAAGGCAAACATTAGTTTTACTTTAGGATCCTAATAAGATTTTTTTTTTAATTTGTTCATATTTCTGTGATTTTATAAAAATTTAGGTAGAAATAAAAATATTTAACTTTTTTTTTTTAGATTCAGTCTGATATGAAATTGTTTCGATTCAATTTAAGTGAATACCACAATTTTATTTATTCTGTTACATATCAGAGAAATGAAGAAGAATGTTCACTTATAGTTGCTGTAAGAAATTTTATATTTTTGTACCATATGTATTTTTACATTGAATGTACTAAATCTTTTAAGGAAAGATTCTTGTTTCAGTTCAGTAGATTAATGAGAGCCTTTAGATTTTGTATAGTCTCTAAATTCCCTTATCAACTTGAAGTTAAAGAAAAATGTTAAAAATTTTATTTGTTTTATGAAATAAAATTTAGTGTTTGAAAATTGACTTCTTCCTCAATGATTTCTTTTTTTTAATTTTTTAGAATTTTTTTTTTATAATAAATTATGCAACACAAAATATATTTCAAAAACAGAAGCAGATATAAAGTTCTTTTATGCGGCGATTTTCATTAAACTTAATTGACTATTTTTATTTTTTATTTAAATAAAGAGTCTATGAGGGAAAACTTTTGATCTTTTTTTGTTTTGTTTATTGTGCAAGTTTGCGTTACATAATTTATGGATGATCCCATACAAGAATTTTTTAGTACTGAATTATGATACAAGGATATTTTCACATTTTAATTATTATAGTGGCAATGACTTGTTTTTTTTATAGGGAGATGGCGATTTTAATATGAGTGAATGGTTAGTAGAAGACGAAGGAGTACTGCTAAATGACTTCACTCAATCTATTAGAGGCAACTTTTTTTTTTTAAAGAAAAATATATTAATATCTTTTAAGGATATATTAAAGAAAAATATATATCTTTTAAAGCTTAACATTTCTCTGTTTTGATTCTTGTATCATCATTTCATTAGTAATGCATCAATTTCACATCACTATTACATCATCATTTTATTAACATTGCATCATTATTGGATTTGGATTATTTGTTTTAACTTTTGTTTAGAAGTTGGGTTCAAAAAGAATCTAGTTAGCCCTGATAGTCAGTACATTGTATCTCTGGATCTTGAGGTAAAGAAGTTATTTAAGACACTCTATGAAGTTTTATAATTACATTTTTAAATGTTAAGCTTAGATGTTTGTTGTAATTTTATAGCAACTAAAAGATTTTTATTTTGTAATTGAAATTGCATAATTGAAAAATTACAATAAAATTGCATTATTAAAAAAAAAAAGAATTAAAGATATCTTTTGTTCTATAATTATTTGTTATTTATTTTTTTTTTATTTGTTTTTTTTATTTGGCTTTTGTTCTATTTTTATTTTCAAATATTTTTATAAAACATAATATTAAATAAGTTATAAAAATTAAGTCTAATATTTTGTTACATCTAATAATTTATTTTGCTACATCCTACAATTTAATTAGATTTTTAATTTTTATTAATTTGTTTTTAATTTCCAAATTGATTCCATTTTTAGATTATTGAAAATTTCTGTTTTGTTCACAGTTTCAAACAATTTGAAGTTTTTTTTATCATGTAATTACCAAATAATTGATAAAACAAAATTCAAAATTTTATATTGTTTATTGAATAAATTAAATTTTTAATTTTTATATTTTATTTTAGTTATTTTTACTTTAAAGTAATTTTTGCTAATTAATTACAATTTTTTTTTTCATACTTTAACTATCAGATTTTAATTTTTTTTTGTTGAAAAACTTACTAAAACTTCTTACTAAAAAAATTGTATTAATATCTTTTTAAATTCTACAACATTAATTTTATTTTCCTCAAGTCAAAACTTTTTCAAAACTTGCAGTACGCTTCAGGTTTTGTTTAAAATCCAAGTAACAGGTAGATAATAAAATTGCATTTGCATTGATCCAAAATTTCATAAATTTTGACCAGCTGCTTCACCATCTTTAGAGTATACATATACCTTCCCATATAACTGAAAGTGGTTAAACTTGAATTTATCAGTCTATAAAAAGTTTTTTCAAAAGAAAACATTTATATTTAGGAACATTTATGTAAACCTCAATTGCTTTAGTCTATTTTGTTTTAAAACAAGGGTTTTCTACTTTGTTATGCAACCTTCTGCTACAGCATGGGGCTCACAGTGGCTAGTGAACTTTAATTCAGATAAAACTCAATTTTTTTCAGCCAATCGTTATCGCAATAATTTAGACCTTCCTATATTTATGAACAGTAATGTACTCGATGAGTCTCCTACCCTTCACCTTCTAGGATTAACTCTTACTTCTGATCTTTCTTGGAAACCTTATATCAAATCCGTTGCAAAATTAGCATCTGCTAAAGTTGCTTCTCTTTATCGAGCTCGTCACTTTCTTACTCTGGATTCTATTCTCTATCTCTATAAATCGTCACTTTCTTACTCTGGATTCTATTCTCTATCTCTATAAAGGCTTTGTATGGAATACTGTTGCCATATATTTTTTTTTTTTTAATTTTTTTTTTAATTCACCTCCTCAAGGCCGAGAAGGCCACTACAGACGAGGAGGCTACTCTATAACTCCGAAACACGAACCTTGATGAACAAGGCCGCTGTGCAGAGAAATGAGTTAAGCGCGGTACTTCCAGGGATGTGGTGAGGATCGAACTCCGAACCACTCGTTTATGAAGCGAGCGCTCTATCTGGGGTGGATCTTCTAATGATGCCCTTTCTCTTTTAGACAAGGTGCGAAAACGCATTGTAAACATAGTTGGACCTGCTCTTGCAGCCAACCTTCAACCTGTCACATCATTGTAATGTTGCTTCTCTTTCTCTTTTCTACAAATACTATAATGGGCACTGCTCTGAAGACCTAGCGTCTCTTGTGCCATCTACTAAAATTCATTCTCGTGTTACTCGTCATTCAATTAAGTCTCATCCTTTTTCTGTTACTGTTCCTAAGTGCTCCAAAAACTTTTATACGTCTAGTTTTTTTCCTCGAACATCATTTCTTTGGAATTCGCTTCCTTCATCTTGCTTTCCTGATTCATATAATTTGCAATCTTTTAAAATGTCTGTCAATCGTTATCTTGCTCTACAATCTTCATCTTTTCTCTTCCAGTAACTTCCAACACTAATTAGTGGTTGCTTGCAGCCTTGTTGGAAGCGAAGATGTTAAAAAAAAAAAAAAAAAAAAAAAAACCTTGAAGGCCTGCTTATTGTAGACAATGACAAATAGTTGGGGGGGGGGGTTCTGGTACAACTATACTCTTCTTTATTTTTTATTTCATTAGAAGTTAAAAAACTTTTTTAGACATACTCACTTTAGTTTTAATAATAGTTTCCATACTCGTACACTCTGACACACAACAAAGTTTAACAAAAAATTTTTTGCCACATTTTAATATTAAAAGTGTTGTCACATAATAGCAACCTGAACAATAATGTTTACATTCAAATAATAATGCAAGTTCTAACTTTTTATTTATAATAAGAAATGCCATTAAAAAAATATATATATATATTTAGAAACACACTATATAATTCAATTAAAAAGAAATATTTTAGGCTGTGCTATTGACTTATGATTACCACTGTATTTATATATATAGAGACATGTATGTTGAGAGAGACATGCATGTCTCTCTCAACATGCATGTCTCCCTCAACATGTTGAGACATGTTGTTATTATTAGGACTAAGTTAAAAAATAATATCAAAAATGTCGCTGTCAGCAAATATGTCGCTGAGCTTCAAATAATCTCTATATTATATAAAAAGATTATTTGAGTCATTTTCTCTCTATTTTTTTTCCTTCTATTGAATCCTTTCTTTTTTGCCTTCTATTATCAAGTCTTCTTTATTATAAAATCATTTCTGAAGAAATGATAACATAATGAGCCAATTTAATAAAAAAAAGTATTAGCTTTAGTAAAAAGCTAATACTTTTAAAGTTGAAAACCACAAATGATTATAAAAAATATTAAAAGATAATTTTGTTTTTTGTTATTTAAAACTGTAGAAATTTACAAAAAAACTTATTTTTTTAAATATGTTTTTAGAACAATATCAGTTTATGGACGAGAAAAAATTTTATATTCATTGATTGCTTGCAAGAACTAAAAGTTGAAGACTTTAATTTATTTATTACGAGCGCTGTTGAAACTGATTGCAGCGACAAAAGCAGGTGATGATTGAAATATTTTAATGTTTTAATAGAGCCTCATGTGTGATCACAGATACTTGTGACTTTTAACTTGCCTTATTTAACTTTTGCATGTGAACTTATTAAGAAGTTATAAGCTTGTTTTACCTGCCTCAAAATTAAATCATTAAAAAGACAATGTAAATTGTAATATAGCTAAACAAATATTAACAATAAGATTTATTTTCAATTTGACTGAAACAATGAAACAAGCTGTATTTATCGCACAACATTTATTTGGCATGATTAAACACTTTAATGGTATCATTTTGAGAAATAAAAAAATAATTTTTCTTATAAATAATTGTAACCAAAATTTTTTGTTATTTTTTGTATTTCTACAAAAAAAGAAGATATTTTATTTTTAGTAAAGCTAAAGAAGATTTGAAAATTGTTTTACTTACAGTTCCACAAAACAAGGTTTTATTTATTAATGTATTATTTAGATATTTGATTTTATTTATATTTTAGTTTTTAAGTTGGTGTTTACAAAGTTTTGAATATTTTGGCAAAAAGTTAACTTATTTATCATTTTAGTTTTTAATAAATTTTTCGCGAAAATCAAGTTATATTTTGAAATAACATTTTTATACTATTTTCATCAAATATCTTTTTCATAAATTTAAAATTAGTTTAAGAATTAAAATTTTCTGTTTGCAAAAAGTACAAAATAACAAATGTAATAAACAAACAATTTTCCATCAACAAAAGACTTGTTTTACATTGTTTTAAAAATACCTATTTTGGGGTATTATAATCTGCTGTAAGTTCAATCAATTCAGAATATTTTTTGAATTGATGGAAAAATTCTTTTGGCTTACAGCTTAATAGAATTTATAAATGCAATTTACGAATTATTTTATAGAAAAGAAAGCTTGTTGTTTTGTCATTACCTACATTTGAGCATGTATATACATTGACTGTTTCAGAATGTACAGTTTTAGCGGTTCTACCTTCTCAACAGGTATTGAATGATAGAAGAGTCTTTATTTTATGAATCAAAATTGTTTACAACCTTTATTATAGTTAAAAATATTATTGTTGTTATTATTATTATCATTGTTATTATAATAAATAATTTGTTATATGATATATAAGATTTGAATCAATTATGATTAGGATAATATGATGTTTATAGAAGGTGTTCCAAATGAAAATTTAGACGACAGGTTTATTTTTTTAGTTTTTCCAGATTTTTATAAATGTGTTGTTTTAAATATTAATCAATTTTCACATTTTCATAGTACAAAGTTCAAAAAATCTATAAAAGTAATTTATTATTAGCTATTTTTTGTTTAGTATTGAATGTGAAAAAGATTTGTCTCTTGTGGGTACAATAAGAATTCGTTCATTGATGGAAGCAATACCCCAAAATAGGTATTTTTAAAACAATGTAAAACAAGTCTTTTGTTGATGGAAAATTGTTTGTTTATTACATTTGTTATTTTGTAATTTGCTCTATATATTTTTTAGATTTTCTCGTCTTCTACATAAAAAAAAGTTTTCAGAAGCAGAGGATTTTGCAAAAATGTTTAATTTGGACATTGAAGTAAGAATTTTTTATAATTTATTATCAAAAACATGTTTAGGTATTTTCATTTTTTACTAGTATGCAAGTAAAAATGAAATAAAAATCAACTTGAGCGCTGCTTTTAAAAAGAAAAGGTTGCTGGTCAGTAAAATAAGATAGTTTTAAATATAATAATATAACATAATGATTATGTTAAATAATATAAATATAATAATATAATAGCATAACAATATAAATATAATATCAGGGGCGGGTCCAGCAATTTTTGGTCCTTGAGATAGCTAACTTCCGGACATGGAGCAAACTCCAAACATTTATATGTTTATACCTATGTCAAATAAGGATGCTTTGCAAAAAATTGCAATGATTGGAGCCTGGTAATAAAAAAGCCCTGAAATTTTAGCTACACCTGCCCCAATCGTGAGAGCAACAAGTTGATAAAACATTTTTTCTACTATTATGAATATATACCAAGTACTAATATATAAGTATTATACTAATATGAATATATACCAAGTATATATTCATTTATAAATTTTAAAACTCACACAATTATCTATTAGCATTCAACAGTTATGGCCTTATAAAATTTGCAACCCCCTCAAATTGAGGGAGGTTAAAACTTTTTATTGTCAGTTTTTGAACGCTAAAAGGTTTTTGTGTGAATTTTAAAATTTGTCGATAAATATAGATTTAGTTAAGAAAAGTATAAAAATTATTTTATCAACTTGTTGCTCTGTATTATATCTACTATACTGCTGTATTTTATCTACTATGCTACTGTAACATTTCTACTATGGTATGCAATTGGTCCCTACAATTATAAATGATTTTAATTAATTGCATTAAATAAAAACATGTTCAAAATATTTTGAACCTAAAAAATCATAATTAATTTTACTAAGGCTAATTGCAATGTTAATATGGCAAATTGTTAAGTTGTTATATGCGGTAGTGGTGTAGTGGTAGAGCGCTCGCTTCATAAACGAGTGGTTCCGAGTTCGATCCCCACCACGTCCCTGGTAGTACCGCGCTCAACTCGTTTCTCCGCGCAGCGGCCTTGTTCGTCAAGGTTCGTGTTTCGGAGTTATAGAGTTGAGAGAGGGTTATAGCCACAAAATAAGTAGCCTCCTCGTTTGTAGTGGCCTTCTCGGCCTTGAGGAGGTGAAGTAAAATAAAAATAAAAAAAAAAAAAAAAGTAATTCAAAGTTGGTGAGACAATTTAATCTTTACTCCAAAGAAAGACTGTATTTTATTTTTGACATCATTTGGAACAAGCTAATAATAGGTTAAGAAATAAGCTGAAAAGTTTAAATTTTTCTCTAAAAAATTTAAAATTTACGTTTTTTTGAAAAATTTAATTTTTCATGAAAATTTAAAAAATTTTCATGAAAAATTTACGGATATAGAAAGATGATGTTAAAGAAAGTGTGTATTAGAAAAAAGGCATTACCAGAGGTGCTGCCTGGAGGAACAACTTGAGCGTAGGTCGTGGTTGTATTAAATTCGAAACTTCTCACTTCTGAAGCGAGCGCTCTACCACTACGCCATTACGGCATATAAAAATTATAAAAAAATATTTTTACAGAGATAACAATAGTATTTTTTTTAAAGTAGAGGATATTACAGAGATAATTGTTGATGTTTACTAATGGTAAAGGGTCGTCCAGAAAGTATGTATGTCAAAAATTTTGAAATTTGACTGCCTCCCTCCAACCTGTTGCTATGCGTACTTCCTCCCCCTGTTACCATGTGTAAGTCCTCCCCCCTCCCTCCTTTAAAAGTACATTCATTTTGAAATCCCCCCCCCCCCTCCCAAAGAAAAAAAATAAAAACAAACAAAAAATAAAAAAAAAACTTTTTTTTAATGAAAAAGCTTATGGATAAAAAAAAGGGTGAGGAGGTACCTTAGATACTTTATACGACCCAAAAGCTCTTTGTTTGCAGCACAGGATCCCTATTTCAAAAATGTCTTCAAATATATATGCTAATATTAATTTTAATAAAGTTAAATTACACATCTCCAATGTGTTGACTTGGCCAAGAGGTTAATGCTGAGGACTGTGGCTACAGAGACAGGTGTTCGATTCCCAGTCGAGTCATATTGTACTTTTTTTTGTTTTAATGGCGAATCAAATAAAAATAAACTATACTTAAGGCGGACATTTTTTTCAGACACTCCTCTTTAGTAAGTCTGTAAAAAACAAGTCCTATGCGAGATCAGTAACAAAGATCAAAAACAAAGCCTAAAACCTAGTGCCAAGGATAGGCTACTCGTACCCCTACATTTGAGGTGAGGGGGGGGGGGAGGAGGATGGGGGCAGAAAATTTTGTGCTAATTTAAGGAGTTTTTTATTTTAGCAAAACCCAACGGTAAAATTCGGAAGATTTTGAGACCCAAATGACACGTTTTTTATGGGGCCTCTGACCTATTAGCCACTGCTAAAACCTGTTTTTTGTTAACTCAAAAAATAGGGTGCCTGAAATATGCCTTACTCAGGGCCAGTATATGAGGGGTGGCATGTGTACATGGGTGCCCGCAGGATTTTGGCATAGGTATGCTTAGGTTTGGAGCTTGCACAAGCTCCAAACTTAAAAATATTGTTAAAGTGTCCTATCTGGAACATCAAAAAATCCTGCGGGCCCCAAGCATGTGTGTGCATTGAGGGAAACTATACCCTCTACTCCTTATACCAAACATCTTTTTATGTTGGCAAACTAGGATCTTTAGTCAAAATTTTAAGTTTTCTATTGATTAGCTGGTTAATTGTGTTTAAAAAATAGATGTACATACTTTTATATTGAATCCCCCCCCCATAGACTTTTGTACACTTTTTGAAGACCTCTCCCCTCCCTCTATAAGCGTACGTACTTAATGGACAACCCCTAATGTATAATTGTTGATGTTTACTAATGGTAATGTATAATTGTTGATGTTTACTAATAGTAATGTATAATTGTTGATGTTTACTAATGATAATGTATAATTAGTTGATGAAAAAAAATTAAATAAAACATTATATTATTTTTTACAATTTTTAGCTCGTTCATAAAGTACATAGTATTTTTATTCTTGACCAATTATCACCTTGGGATGCAAATCTGAATAGTCAAGATGATAGTTTCTATTTAGGTCTTATGAGCAAGCTCAAAGTTTGTCTCGACAAAATTGAGGTAATTAAGTTGTTTAACAAAATAGCATAAATATAAATATAAATATTTTGCACAATATTAGTTCAATTTTAGTTATATAAATAATAATTTTAAAAATTGTTATTTTTCCTTCCTTTATTTTAGGATATGGAGCATGTCGCAAATTGCTGCTTACAAGCTCAACTACCTACACTCAGTGCTACATTTGATCTTTTAAACTATGCGCAACAAAAGGTTTATCTCATTTCTTAATTGTATATTTTTATTATCTTTTATTGACTTTGTTGTTGAATTCTTTTAATAATGTTTGTTGTTCCAATTAAATATGTTTTTAGTTTGATTTCAGTTTATATAAATATAGGTGCTGGTAAGAATATAATATAGGTTATAAAATCTTATATATATATATATATATATATATATATATATATATATATATATATATATATATATATATATATATATATATATATATATATATAAATATATATATATATATATATATATATATATATATATATATATATATATATATATATATATATATATATATATATATATATATATATATATGCACACACACACACTCCTACATGGTGGTAAATACAAATTTACAAAATAAGTGTACAAAGTTTATGTCTCTGCTTACTAAAGTGCCTTGTTAACAGATTGTTTTTACAGTGAAAAGTTGAGAGCATAATCACCAGTGGGGTCAAACTTGGAACATCTTGCCTATGAAGCAAGCGCTCTACCACTACACCAGCTGGTACTGCTAAATGTTAAACTGTTTTTATTTTTGTTTAGGTCAATTTCAAATCAAGAACATTTACAAAATCATCTGCTTTGTTTCAAGCTGTAAGCTTTATTTATATAATAAACATAAAATTTTTAAATACAAATAACTATATAAATTTCATATTTAAATATATTCATAAAATTTATGTGTATATAAACAGTTTAATACAATTATATTATTTATGTAAAAGTAGGATATTATTAAAAGATTTAAATTTTAACTATATTATTAAACAATTTAAAATTTAAAAAAAGAACTATAAACAGAATTACAAATATAAAAAACTATAAACAAAATTATAAAAGATTTAATAATATGTTATAAATAAATTTATTTAACTTTAAATTTTTTTCTTTTCAATTTTGCATAATTTGAATGAATTTTTTTTCCATTTTTAGTTATTAGATGGTATTAATCGTTTGGTGACATTTGATGTGGCATTTGGTTCTTCTCATTTTACGCAAGTTAATTTAATGAGAAATTTGTTTATTATTTGTTGTTGCTTAGTTATTAAAATTAAAAAAAAAAAAAATATTTTCCTTGTTTTTATTATTATTATTGTTATTCAATAATAGAGGAAACTCTTGGTCTGCATTTTTGTCTTCTTCACTTCTTGATGAAGTAATTAAATGCTTCACCGGGTTAAATAACAATGCTGGGATAATTATTTGGAGAAGACATCAGGTTTTTTTTTTTTTATTAAACCATTTTGTAACTATTAACAGAAAATAAATAAAAGCAAAATTTACATATAAATAAAAGTGACAAAAAATAAGTAAATAGTTGCAATTATTTTTCATATAGAGTGAATTTGAAAAGTATTTTACTGAGGCTAAACTGCAACAGATTCTTCACTCCCTCGAAAATACACCATCTAAAATAATTATTCCATGGCTCAGAGAAGACTTTGTTCCATATGTTTTAACTGTTCTTCCAGATGGTCAGGTAAGTTGTTGTCTAAGTGTTGTGCAATAACAAATAATATACTAATATTGTATAATTTAATAATAAAGTGTACACCATTATTTGCTTACACAGAATTTTTGTGTGTTTTCTTACAGTGCTTGCTTGCTAGTTGGTTAGAAAGAATCGCAAGAGATTTGGAATATAAAGAAAAAGAATCATGGCCTGACAATGCTTTGGATTTAGCAGAAGTGATGTACAAAGCATTTTCAAATCTAAGTCAATCAACACAGGGCAGAGGGGTTGCTACACCAATGCAGTTTGCTACAAAAGTAAATAGCATCAAGCTAGTTTATTAAATCTTTTTAATTTGCAATTTTTAATTTCAAGTTGTTATGAAGCCTAAGTCTAGGATAAAGATGTATCCTAGGATACAGGTGTATTATTTTGTTGTTAATATTTTAATAGTTTATTTTTTTTACTAAATTTCAAATCAAACAATTGATTAAGCGTGATATGATGATCAAATGAATTATGCTCTTAATTTTTTTTTGAAAACTAAAATATTTTATATAATTTAGTGACTCTTTTGTTCATGTTTAATAAGTGGTTATGGGTAATCTGGTTAATAAGTGATTATGGGTAATGTACCAAAAATTTAACTTCTATTAGCAAAATCTAATGAGCCGTTTTATTTTTGCACAATTTTTTAAATTTAGATTTGCAAACTAAGCATACCTTACTTTGAAGGTACTGAAGAAGATCCAGATAACTTGGTTGGCTCTTTACACTTTAATATTTTATTATTCTAAAAACAAATTATAATGCTATTATTTTTAAACTAATTTTTATTATTTTAATATCTTGTATTAATTTGGTTTCAATTACAGCCAGGTCTTCGAAATTCAATGAAAATGTTAGGAAGCCTGGTAAAGAGTTTACGTGAAGTCAAGTCATTACATCATGAATATAACTGCAAATTATCTTTGGATCAATATTTGTCTGTAAGTTATTGATCATAGTAGCAAATCGTGTTCTTTTTGTGTTTTTAAAAAGTTCTTTGTTTTAATAATTCATATTTTATACTTTTTTTATTTATAGGAAAATACAAAACAAATTACATTCAGATTGTTGAACAGAATTGCAGCTGCTGAATTGATTCCACAAACAATAAAGAAATATGTCGAACCTTATGTAACAAAAAATAATTTGAAATTAGAAAACATATTACATGAATATTTGATAGTAAGAAGTATTTTTTTGTTTTTGATTTTCATCTAAAACACAATATAAGTGTCTAAAAATCAATAGTCTTCTTCTTAAAATTTGCTTCACTTTTATTGTAGTGTGGCTGTTGAAGTTTTTGACCTTTTCATTATTTACTTTTTTCAGATGATTTGTGTATGACTTGATTCCAAAAATCAATAGTGTTTGCACTTTTTTTAAGTTTTATGTTTGTCAACCTATAATAGATTATCAATGATTAAGCCTTTCTATCGGTATTTCAACTATTTGTTTAGGAACTTGTTGATATGAATATTCAACTTGCTAGTTTGTGGGAGCCAAAAGTCATCGCTATCATTAATGAAATAAAAAATAAAGAGGTAATGAAATAAAAAAAGGTAAGGTTTTGCAGAATATTTTTATATGATTAAATTTTTAGTTATAGCTTGTGGTTAAAGTGAAGGAGGTTTTTTTTCCTTATTTCCCGTTTTTTTTTTCTTATTTCTTATTTCCCTGTTCCACTGGCAATCCTGTTTGCTCCATTGAGAAATAAGTTTCATGCAGTAGTTGCAAAGGCATAGTATGTTTTGAAATTGTAGCTTTTGCTTATGAAATAATTTTTGCTTATAAAATAAGTTATATTATTTAATAATAATTTTCTTTACAATTTTTTTTTTGCAAGAAAAAATGTGAAGCAACACTAAAGTTGATGATGAAAGCACAAACACCATGGAGCGAAAGTGTTGTCAATTTAGTTACTTCAATGCTTAAAATATGTCCTGAGTATATTTTTTTATTTCTTTTTATTGCAAAATATGTTCTGAGTATATTTATTTTTATATCAATACATAAATTTTAACTGTGTTTTTTTTCATAAAATTTATTATGAAACTGAAATGTTTAGAAATAAAAACTTGTTGCGCCAGTTTCAATTTGCAGAACTTCGAAAAATGGTTGCTGGTTATAACATTCGAGATACGAATTTTGCAGACATTTCCAAAATCGAGGTTTTTCATTTAATATATTTTTTATTTAAAAATGAAATAAATTTAATAACTTAAGATTATTTATAAATATTGGTGTCATTAATTACAAGTGTAAATGTATTGCTGTTATTAATTTAGTCTATGCTGTATTATGATAAAAAGGGTGTATTAAAATAAATAGGCTGTACTAATAACACTGGTCAACAAAATGGAACTTTTTGTTCTCATCATGAATAAAAATATTTTTTTCTGGATAAACTTTTCACTCTGATTCCAAATATCTATTTAGTTTTTCTTTATCACGTACACATTTTGAGATAAGGGCCCCTCTTATTTTGCAAATATCAGGGAAATTAAGACATTTGCCTTAAATTGTGTTGTATGAGCTTGCATCTCCTACCCTATTACTATCTTAGATCCGTACAATTGTCAACAATTTAAGTCAGTATTAACATATACAATATTTTATTCACTACAATTACCACAACATTTGCTCAAAATCGCCGTGAATATGACTTTCTTTTAAAGACTTTGTCTGGGTTGTCACGATAAAGCATCCAGCAGTATTCACCCATCATGCTTTCATTCCAAAACCCTTGATAGCGATTTTCCATCAGTTGAATATCTTGATGAAATCGTTCACCTTGTTCATCACTCACTGCACCTAGATTTTCAGGAAAAAATTTCAGATGGGAATGTAAAAAGTGCAACTTCAAAGACATGCAACATCCCATTTTTTGATATGAATCGAGCAGCTCTTGAATGCCAGCTTCATATTCAGGTGACTTGTGGTTACCAAAAAAGTTAGCACAAACCCAAGTAAAGGCTTGCCAAGCTTCCTTTTCTTCATCTGTGAGAGAATTTTTGAAATTAATATCTCGTAAAACCTCTCTAATTTGAGGTCCGACAAAAATTCCTTCTTTCAACTTTGCTGCACTCATTTTTGGAAATTTTTCCACCAAGTATTGAAATCCAGCTGAATTGGATTTCCCCATTGCTTTTACAAAGTTCTTCATCAAGCCAAGTTTGATATGTAGAGGAGGTAAAAAAATCTTTTGTGGATCGACCAAAGGAATATTTTCAACACTATTTCTTCCTGGCTCATACTCATTCCTTTGGTCCCAATCTCGTTTCACGTAATGTTCTGTTACAGCGTGGCTGTCCCACAAACACAAGAAACAGCAGAATTTTGTGAAACCTATTTGCATGCCCATCAGCATGCCAATGACTTTTAGATCACCACAGATATTCCATTGATGAGTTTTGTAGTTGATTGCCTCAAGGAGAATTTTCATGTTTTCATGCGTCTCACTCAGATGAACAGAATGAGCAATTGGTATGCAAGGCTTTTGATTTCCCTTATGCAACAACACAGCTTTCAAGCTTCGCTTTGACGAATCGATGAACAAACGCCATTCAGAAGGTTCATGCGGCTGTGATAAACTTTCAAACAGTCCACTGATGTCATTGCAATAGCACAATGGGCCATCAACAGTAAAAAATGTAGCTAATTGAAGATTACGCTTTTGATAGTGGCACACTTTAACATTTGTTGCAAGCAAATTTTTTTGTTTAAGTCGTGACCCCAAAAGTTCTGCTTGATAAGGTTAAGTCTCGGACCAAATCATTTAGTTCTTCCTGATTGAATACTTCTGGCGTTTTTTCGACATCAGGTGAATAGTCAAGATCGGCAGTGTCTTGATGGTCATCACAAGAGTCCACTTCCATCTCATCTTCGACAGAATCTAATCCATCTGTTGGAGGGATTGGAACTGGTAATGAGGGGTCATGTGGAACTGGCCTCATTGCCGAATCCAAATCTGGATAAACGATTTTGTGCCTATTTTTAGATGAAAATCCAGTTGTATTAACAATGCAAAAATAACAATCAGTTACATGATCCTTTGGCTCCCTCCATACCATGGGTATGGCAAATGAAAATGCAGTTTTCCGTTTGTGAAGCCAGTCACGCAATCCACTAAAACAGCTTGTGCAAATAATATGTGGAGCCCATGTTTTATCTTGATCACCTAACGGACATCCAAAGTACAATTTGTAGATTTTTGACAAGTTTGCTGTAATTTTACGCCGCTGACCAGACACTGTATATAAGCCGCATACATAACAAAAGGTGTCAGGCTGATTCTTGCATTTTCTTGGCATCTTAATAAATTATTTTATAAAGATTAAATCAAACCTGAAATGAGGAATAATATCATTAGTAATTGCCACTAATCTCAAAACATAAGGCATGTCATCTCAAAAACTAGACATGCTACAAAAAAACTGAGCACAGATTTGAAATCTGCACAAAAAACTGTATCTGGGCCACCCAAAATTGAGTCTGATGAAAAATTGTTGTTGACCAGTGTAATTAGCATAAACAAGGTGCTTCTGATCTTGCATAAAAATAGAATTATCTTTTTTAGCCCGATTTTTATTTGTAGTTTGTATTGGGATTATGTTTTGATCAAGTGAAAAAAATATAAGAAATTTTTTTTTTTTAATTTTTTTAAAATCCTTAACTTTTTCTACAATTAATTTCTCTATCTTAAAATTTCTTGAAGTCATTGAAGAGCATTATTCTAAAAGGAAGCAAAGTCCATTTTTTCTATTTTTAGTATGAGTACAAATCTAACTATTTTAACATGAATACATTGTTTATCATCTTATTTAAGATTAAAATGATTGAGATTCAAAAAATACTTCGCCAGATAATTATTATTGTTTTTTTTCAAAACAATAAAAATGTGACTAGCATCTTTAAAAAAAAAAGCTTTTCAATTTAAAAATTTAAAAAGTTCAATATTAGATTAAGATTTGATTTCATTCTTTCTTTTGATCTTTTTATAAATAGTAAAATTGTTTTAATTAAATTATTTTTTATTGTTTAGGAGGTTGTAAAATACATGTTTAATACAAACAAACTTGAAGCACTAGATGATGCCCTCAAGGTATTGAAATCTTTCTAGTGGCTGTTTGATTAGTCAAATATTTAATTAATATTTAAATAAATTAAATTTTTTTTCATAAAGTTCAAAAAATTTTAAAAAATATAGTTGATTAATTTATAAAATAACATATTTAATATATAATATACTTTTTTATTTTATATTATAAAAAATATACAATATACATTTTAGCCTTATTTTACCAATTATAACTAATTTTTGAGTGAATTTACAAAAAAATATGATTGAAGTCCATAATGGTGAAAGTTCTGCATTCTTATATAAACAGAAGAATTTATTTTCCAAGTTGTTTAGAAAAAGAAATAAAAATCAAATTTGTTGCTATAAAAAGTGGTTAGCAACTATAAAAATAAAATTTATTGCTATAACAACTGAATCAATCATTATACAACTATCATAAAATAAAACTAATTGTTTAAAATTTAAAAAAAAGTCATGGTATGTAAATATATTCGCGTCAGTATACAGTCTTGACTATTGTAATATTTTCTCATAAATAATTTAATATTGTATTAAGCTTATAAATATAACGTTTAAAATGTTGCTGCTAGTTAAAATAATTAAAATGTATATTAATCCTAGTCAATGAAGTTGTTAACTGGTTATCATAATAATGCAGTAGTGGTAGAGCGCCTTATAAGTGAGAAGTTCAATCCCCACCATGTCCCTAGTAGTACTGCATACATATAATTTTGACAATTTCATTTTTACATTTAAAATAATAAAATGGTTTGCATTTCAAAGTTCACCATTAGGCAGTTGCCAAAGTGTTATTGTGTCCTGTATGTCAATATATAAAAGAATTTGTAATTTTAAATTGTTATACTCTCATTAATTTACATTATCAGTACTAAGTAAGTTACACATGTAATTGTTAATACTAAGTAAGTTACACATATATTTGTACCTTATAAAATATTTTTGTCTTGCTTATCAGGATTCATAAAAGCAGGAGAAAATTGAAAATTATTAAAGAAAATTTTTTTTTTTTAAACCTTGTAGTTCAAAGAGTAAATCATTTTTGACCTTGGTGTTCATAGTCTGAGAAATTTTTAAGAAAATTCATATAATTTTGCATCTATGGTAACTTGAGTCAATGGTTTCTGACTCTCTCATTTTAAATTTTTTTAAATAGGAGTTATGATATATCTAGTGCAGCTAGATTTATAAACAACATTATTTTCATAATGATGTTTCATAAAAATGAAACATTATTTTAAGAATTGATTCTATGATCGATTCATAAAAAATAATGGTTTTGTAAAGGTGATTTGACTGATTTAATTAATAATACTTTATAAAGGCATAAAATCAAGTTTGTTTACTTTGAACTCAAATAATTTAGTTTGACAGAGCTGAAATACAAATAAGTAATACAAACATAATAGTATAAGAAAGCTTTTTATGGTATTAAATCTTTGTTTTTTATTATTTAATAATTTTCTTTTGAACATTAAAATAATGTTTAGCAAAGTAAACGTATTAGTTAATATGAACAAGTTTTTTATTTTACAATATTTTTTTTATAATTAACTTATTGTGACTGTTTTATAGAGTTACTTATTAATATGCACGTTTTAGTATATGCACATTTTATTACATGTGAGTTTCAATTTTTAACTATCTTTTACAGTATGCTAGAAGGTTTATAAAATAATTGTATGGTAGCAGGCTTTGGGCGGTCTAACAAAATTTACATAAAAAACTGTATGTTGTTATACTATATGGTATAACAATATTTTTACATTTATGTTATAAATAAAAATTTTGCAGTCATTGTTAGGTGTTCTTTTTACCTAGACAATTTACTAGTAAATGCAAAGAAAAATCAATTAAAATCATCCAATAACATAATGTTTATTTAATTTTGTTGTTTATGTTTACTGTTTGGCTGTGCTACATATCTTAAAATCCTTTGCGTTACTGATTACACAAATATACAAGTCTAACACCATTTACTGCATCTGTTAGTTCTGAGTCTCTAAATTTAAAAAATGATAAATTTCAAAATTCATCATTTTCTTTTTCCTTATTATAAAGTTCAAGACTACTATGTCTGTGTAAAAATAAGATTTTTTTTCTAGAGCCTGGAAACTACAGTCTGGAATCTTTAGTACTAAACAACTTATCTCTTTAAAGAATAATTATTTTCTTTACACGATCTCAATCTCTTCACAGAATCATTTCTATACATAATTCTCTTGATAATGTTCTTAATCCTTGATTTGATATTTGTTTTTTCTTTTGTTTATAGATTTGTAAATACTTTCCATCTGTTACAAAGGCTTATGTTTATTTTCTTCGAATTCAGTCATGGATTTTAAGTAGCAAGGTATTTTACATTTTTTTTTAAATTAGAAAAATTCTGATTGATAAAGTGAAATAATATAAATAAATATAACTATAAATAAAGTTTTAAATAATAGTAAAGTTATAATTTATATTTTCATTTGGAAAAGTTAAACAAAAAACTTCAAAAATTATTAGTATTTTTTATAGAAATATGTTAATAGTTTTCTTATTTAGATTTATGAGTCCTGCAAGTTAATAGAAGACTTGGATATTGAAGATGCCATCAATGTTGCAAACTTTTGCTTGGTATGGTATAACAGCTGTTTTCAGCCAATTGATGAAGAGGTAATTTTGTATATATTTCATGTACATTAAGCAAAATTTTTTATTCATTAGACTATTCATAACCAGGCTTGGTCGGGAAATGGGTGCGATCGTACTCGATAATTGACCATGAAAATAATATTTAGGTGCGAAAAACCAGCCAGATTTTTTTAGCCGTTTTGAGAAGATTTAAGTTTATGTATATTTCCTTGTTTGTTCGCAAAATAATAATTAAGTTCATTATTTTATCGTAAATTTTAAAATATTTTGTTTTACGGACATACATGGAAACATACATAAACTTGAATGTTCTCAAACATCTTTGTGTGAAAAATAAAAAAAGAATATTCGCAAACACAAAAAACCTGCCAAATATACGAACAACTAACTCTATTGGTTCAAAAAATACTAACCAAATGTTTTGAAGTATTCTGTTGAAATATTTTTAAATATTGTATTATTTGAGTTTTGTTATATTTTCGTTGAGATTTCTAGCATAAATTGTTTTAAGAATATACTATCAAACGAACTATTATTTTAATACTATGACTCAATCTTGGAGCCACATCTACAAAGCTAAAAATGTTTTAAACTAACATTATTCCTTTACAAAAATGTTTTAAATTTATATTTTTTAACTTGTCAACGTTTTATTAGTATATTTTATTAGTATATTCTTATTTTTTATATGTAAGGGATGTATTTTTTATGCATGTTATGTATTTTTATGCATCTAATGTATTTTTATGTAGGTAATGTATTTTTATGTATGTAATTTTATGTATGTGTATTTTATTCAAATGTAATCTTTTAAAGCAATTTGTGCGATTGGTTTTGTAAACAAAAATACTTTCAATAATAACTGCCTTTTCAATTAAATTATTAATAATCATCAAAGTTAATACAAATAATTTTAACCACCAATTCATTTTTCTCAGTGTACCCGATAACTGATTCCATCCCCCAAGAAAGAAAAGTTTTCAAGTTCTTAGAAATTGGTTTACTAACTTCAATTATTTTTGCTTCAGCCATTCTTCAGCCATTCCTATAAACTAGTTATACTTAAACTTAAAGTTACTTTTTTTGTTTTAAATACTAATTAAAATTATAAAGCCCACTCACTAAACATCATCAGCGGTATTTTGAAGCAGTTCCCCTTCCTCCTCACAAAGAAATTTAACGTTTTTAGTTAATTTCTATCTAGCTAATTGAATTTCTACAGTAACTCAATGATTTAATTATTTCATTTGTTCATCTTACTAAGAAGAATTGTTTTAAATGTGTTAAACTTTTCAAACTACGCGAAGCATAAAATAGTTATTAAAAAAACTTTTTTATTTATAAATAAATCATCTAGGATTAGTTTTATTGGTTGAATCTTGTTGTACTTTTCAGGGCTGGGGGCCACATTATTTTGGTGGCCTTTTTTATGTGCCACAGCATAAAAATGACTACAAAAAATACTGAATGGTCCTCTTGACTATTTCGCGGCTTCTAACATTGTGAGTGATTTTATAAAAAAAGTTATAAAAGAGCGATGTTTTAAAAATATTTGCTCTAATCGTATTTATTTTACTTTAAGTTTTTTCACGTTAAAAGCTATTTTCTTTTTCTGTCTCTCATCGGTCTATTGAAGTTAATCTTGCGTTTTTTTGTTTGTTTTTGAAATTTTCTCAAAATGACTAAAAAATCTGGCCAGTTTTTCGCAATTAAATATTACTTCCGTGGTCAATTATCGAGTGCGATCGCACCTGCTTCCTAACCAAGCCTGCTCATAACACACATGCACACACACAAACATATTTGTTTAGGTTAAGTGTTGTATATTTCTTGTATATTTCTTTAGGATATGGTTGAGCAAATGAGTATTACAGAAGCTCTTATACTGTTACTTCATTCTGTTTCCAAACTTAGTGAGTTTTTTTTACTGATATTTAGGTCTGAAGTTAGCTCTGATACTTTATTATTTTTTCAATTTCTTTTAAATTTTAATGTGTTTATCATTATGAAATAATCTTTTACTTTAGGTAAAAGTTTCAAAAATGATTTTCAAGTAATAATGACGAAGTTGAAAAATATATACTGTTTACAAGTAAAGTTTTTAAACGCTTTTTAACAAGTACATTTTTAAGCAAATAAAAGTTTAATGTTTTTTTTCTTAAAACTTTGACAAAATTTGAAAAAATAGGTGTAAAAATAGGAATTAAAATACAAAAAATTTAGTTTTAACCCACACTCCTTGTTTTCAAGCAAATTATTTTCAATTTCTTTTAAAATTTTGTCTATAATACCTAAAAGTATATGTAGACTGGGAATATTAACAAACTCTATTTTTTTTTTATTTTTGTCTCTGTTAATAAAGAGAGTTGAACAACATTTGTGAACATTTTTGCATTTTTTAATTTTGCACCACCAGATATCCATCGGTCATATAATCTGAACAAAGATTCTAAAGAATAACGTTCTTTTTTTTGAAAGTTAGGAGATAAGGTCATGCAAAATGGACATTTTGTAATAAATGATATGATTATATCATATATTAAAAAATGATTATATGAACTTCTTATGTCATAAATCTTAAACGAAAAGATATTTTTTGATGAAACTTGAAATCTGTCGATAAATTTTCGTCTAATTTATGATTAAACTTAAAAAAAAAATTTATAAGCTTAGGAGACGTAGTTCTAGGGAGGGGGCAATTCAAGGTTGGAATGGGGTTATGTTAGCTCCAATTACCTAAACTTTTTGCAATTCATCCTCATTTGATACCAATATTAACATACTAAAAATTTGAGTATGCCACATAGCTCTTAGTTACCTATTTTGAACAACAAAATTACTAGGCACTCACCTAAAATATGTGATTTCTCCCTAGGCTTCTAGTAAAAAAAGGTGTTTCTTACATTTTTGAAATAAGGAAGAATCTTCTAATAGTAAACAACAACAAAATTTCTAGAAATGTGTTGCAAGGTCTCATGCATCTTCCAATGCACCGTGGTTAGTAGGCATAGATTTTGGTGCTTGAATTGCCAACAAATTATTAGATGAGGATGTCATTGCAACAGCTACTTGATATGATGCTATTGAAATGGAAGAAGAATCTAGTGAAGAGTGTGTTGATGTTTCTGATGAGGCTGCAAAACTAAGTTTGAACATAGTAATGTATCTCTTACTCAAGAATTACAGTCTTTGTTCAAATTTTGAAGATGATTTGATAAATGCTCTTTATGGGTTTAACATCATTCTGTCATTGACATGGGTTTAACATCATTTTGTCGTTGATAGGAGTTTGACATCATTCTGCCGTTGACATAGGTTTGACATCATTCTGTCATTGACATGGGTTTGATATCATTCTCTCATTGACATGGGTTTAACATCATTCTATCATTGACATGGGTTTGACATCATTCTGCCGTTGACATGAGCTTGACATCATTCTGTCATTGACATTAGTTTGACATCATTCTGTCATTGACATGAGTTTGATATCATTCTTTTATTGACAAGGGTTTGACATCATTCTGTCATTGACACGAGTTTGACATCATTCTGTCATTGACATGGGTTTGATATCATTCTGTCATTGACAGAATTTGAAAAGTCTTTAAAAACGAGGGGTCTTTTAACTTTAGAAGTTGATTGGATCCATAGTTATTGCATTTTTTGTGCTGGAAAAACGAAATTTTTTTTGAATTTTCTAATGAATTTTTAAAATAAGTAAATTTAAACTTAAGTAATCATAATAAATTTAAACTTAATTAATCATTCAATTTTCAAGCTGATAAAAGACAATCTGCTATTACTGACTTTTTTTTGAAAATGTAAAAGTTTAAAACACGCAATAAGTATTGCATTTAGACCTAAGAAATTTGTTTGTTTCTTTGATCAAAATACTTGTAAAAAAATTAACTTAAATCTATAATTTAACTAATCTCCATATGTTTTACAACGCAGCTATCTGCAAATTTTTATTACCTCCCCTCCTTACCTATATATTATTGGCCTAAACAATACTTGTTTTGTATGGACCACATACTAACTGTATTTCATAAACTTACCTCACTGATATTTTGACTTATTCAGATGGCTAAATTACCTATTTTTTTATTAAAGAAATTTTTTAAATTTATTACTATTTTTTACATAAAATTATGGGCATATATCATAATATTCTGTTTCATTATGAATATTTTTAATTTCAATACTTTTTATTTTAAAGAAAGAGTTTGGAGTGTTCTTATCTCTAACACAATATGATGATAGTTGTTATTGTAATGAGTTAATTCGAAATTTTGTATTAAAGCCAAAGCATCATTCTATGGTATGCATTTTTTTATAGTCAATTTTTATGGATAATTCATGTTTGTAGAATATTTTATTGTTATAATAGATTTCTATTTTTTAAATTTTTGATTTTTTTGTCACAAAAAAAATGTCTTAAATAAAAATGTAATAAAATATTACTATAAGAAATATTACTTTAACAATTAGAATATTATTTTACTTTATTATTTTGGAAGAATGTTATATCTAATCCAATTTGGTGAAGGAGTTTTAAGGAATACTACTTTAAAGAATAGAATATTACAGAGTACTACTTTAAGGAATAGAATTTTAAGGAATATTACTTGAAGGAATAGTATATTAGGGAATACTACTTTGAAGAATAGAATATTAAGGAATACTATTTTAAGGAATAGAATATTAAGGAATACTACTTTAAGGAATAGAATATCAAGAATTACTACTTTAAGAAATAGAATATTTACGAATACTATTTTAAGAAATATAATATTATTAATAATTCATTGTAGTGATGGAATCAAACATTTGTTTTGCTGTCAAAAAAAAAAAAAATTGTATATATTATAAACAACAATTTCCTACTAAGTTCCTAATAATTTAGTAAGTTCCTTATAATTTATCAAGTTTCTTATAGTTTAGTTACTTACTTATAATTTAGTAAGTTACTTATAATTTAGTAGGGAAGACCCGGACAAGATGTTAACAATTTTTGTTGCTAACTAATTTATTTTTAAAGGCAGTAAAATTAATTTTACATGAACATGTTAGAGTAGTCCTTTGTGGTATTAAATATATTACCATTTACTTATTCAAACAAACAAACAAACAAAAAATTTTTTTCATAACCTTGACAAATTGTCATATTGCCCCAAGACAAGATGACTTACACTTTAGGGCAAGATGACAACACTAAAGTTAAAAATATATTTTTATATATATTTAAATATATTGAATATATTATTATTTAAATGTATTATTATTTATATAATATATATTGAGATTACTTTTTAAATATATTTTATCTTTTGAATATGTTAAATGGTTTAAAAAATGTGTTTTTTACATCTTACAAACTATTAGGCTAAGTAAATTCATAGTAACTATAGTAGCGTAATTTATTTTAACTAAGTATGTTTAGTTGTTCAATGAATAATAGATTGGTAAAAACGCCACCACTCTTGGCATTTGCAGCTCTGGATCCTTCTGTTGGAGTGTCACAATATTTCTCTTCACAAAATGATATCTTATAACAGCATCCTTTGAAATTGATGCAAGTGAACTGTTTAGCCTGGAATTAGACTTAGTTTTTGTTTTTAAACTCCCTTTATAGCTTTACAAGCTTATTTTCTCTGTTTTTTAAAATATTCATGTTCTTTAAAATATTCATGTTCTGCTTTTTTTGTTTTGTTTTAATAGTTCTTTGATGAGTGTGTTTTTAAGAATGCTTGAGCTCAAAAACACTGACAGCTATTATTCTCACTTTTATCACCAACAACATCATGGTCATTAGTTTTTGAAGTAGCAGTGTCATGTTTGCTAAATAAAAATGGGTTAAAAGGCTTGATTCCACATTCTTTAAACCTGTTGACCCCATTTCCAACTAGCTGCTTTGAAGTAGGTGGTACTCAAAAGCTCACCAGTATTTTTGTTTGTGATAGGTTGTCCTGGATGAGTGACCGTAAAATTGTCTTATACTTAGTTGTAATAGGTCTTTAATGGGCCAAAAATGACACATCAAGGGGCTGGAGACAATATGATGTATTGGACGGTAACCCAACCATGATGTTTTTCTTTCTGCAATATAATATAGCCTCCAAAGTTATGCGGTTTTAAGTGATTTTATTAAGTGATTGTCAGTCACAAAAATCACAATTGTAATCAACAGAGCAGGAGATTAGATTTCACATGAAGATAAAAGTGTTTCAAAAAAGATAAAAAGGTTTCTTCTGTTCCAGCTGTTAATAAATCCTTCCTGAACTTAGGCACTACAGTGGCCTAAGTTCAGGAAGGATTTATTTTCTGGCAAAAATCAAAATAAACAATAATAACTAAGTTTTAATTAACTAAAAAACTAAAATATGCTTTTAAACTAAATAAACAAAATGTTCATTTATTAAACATATTTTTTTATATAGTTATAGTGTGTTTGTATATTTTTTTTAGTTATTTTTATATTTAAGAAATTAAATTCTGTTCTTTTATTCTATTTTTTCCTAACTGAACTCTTACAAATAGAATTTTTGTAATTATCTTTAATTATCTTTAATTGACCACAATCTTCTTTGTGGTAGTTGTTCTTCTTTACAAATTGCAAACAGTTAAGAAATACTTAAGCCAGCACAATCGTTTCAGCATCATAAGCATTAGTTCAACAAATTCAGTTACACTGGGCAAGATGACAAGCTCATTATTTTACTTCTTAAAAACAACTGTTTTGATTGCAATAAAGGAAAGCGGTTAAATGATATTTATTCATGGTAAAATTAATCTTATTTACACATAAAAGTTATAACATGGCAGTGCTAAACAATCAAAGCTTCACAACTATTACAAAAATGGCTATTTCAGCGTTTCTATTGTTTAAAAAACTGCCGATAGGCGAGCCAATAGTGTTAGGTTGATGCTTCTGCCTTGTAGAAAACTCAAAAACTCAATTTAAGACATTTATTGTCTTTCCCCACTTTTCATTTTGTCCCAGTCTCCCCTAATTTGTAGTAATTTATAGTTCTTATAATTTTATATTAAATTATATTATAAATTATAAGTTCCTTATAATTTAGTAACTAATAATTTTAATTCTGGTAAGATTAAATTCTGATAAAAGTTTCTAAAAACTGTAGTACATTAGACACCTGAGATTTAGGATTGATATAAAAATTTTGAGAACATTTAAGAATCCTGAATACCTGAATCGATTGCAGTGATCTTAACTCATTTAAGTGCAATATAAATTCTTCTAAAAATCATTCTGCTTTTGTATCTTGGATGCTAAACTCCACCAATTGTTGATCACTTTTGTTACTTGTTAACCCAATCATTATTGGTTGAAACAATTGTTACATGTTGACTCTGTTGTTACATGTTGGCCTTGTTGTTATAAGTTGAATTTTTTATCTTAAATTTTAGAAACTAAGGAATGCTATTATTGATTTTTATTTGTTAGCTTTAAATTAAAAGTTGAATTTTTCAAAATATAAAAACAATAATTGTCTTTATTATTTTCATAGTTTTCACAGTACTCTTATATATATTTAATAAATTCTAAGATTTAGCATAATTGTGTCTGCCAATTGGCATCTTGGAATCTAAAATTCTCATTCTTCTGTTTATAATTTTGTAATATATTTTGATTACTGGTTGTTGTTTTTTAAACTCAGTGTTTCATTTAATTTTTAATACTAATTTTACACTCTTTTTTTTAAACATTTAGCAATTTTTAAAAAATGAATTTAAAAATTCTTATATATTATATTATATTAACTTACTTTTTTAAGGAATGAATAAAAAAAACTAAATTACATAAAACATTAAATTTTTAGTGCGAAAGTTTTGATTATAAGTCTATGAAGAAAGAGTTTTCTCGTGAAAGCCAAATAATACGGTTTTTTTTTTGTATTTATTTTAGCTTATAGTCTAACTTTACTTGTTTCTTATGTTTTACTTTCCTTGTTTTATTTTTATTTTCACTTTTGTTTAGTTTATTTGTTTTAGTTTGTTGTTTTGTTATTAGTTTTGCAGATTTATTGCAAATGAATGGAGCAAATTATCACTCATTGCTTATAGATGTTTACATAGAAAATCAAAATTATGAAGAAGCTTTTAAACATGTTTGGTAATTAACATTTTTATGACATTTTCACTTTAATTAGCAGTTATATATGTTAAAAATCATTTACTGAAACATCTTCAGTATTATTTATAGATTGTTTAGTCTTGTAGAAATTATAATTATTTTTATTTAAATTCATTTTGATTATTATTATTAATCATATTCATTTTTATTTTATTATTAACATATGTAAATTGATTTTTTAAATAAATAAATTTTTAATTAGTAATCTAATAACTATTTTTTTTCAAAATAAGTGTTGATTGGTCATACAAGTTTTTACTAACATATTTAAACAACAAGTTTTTACATATTTAAACATTAATTAAAACATAATAAAAAACAATAAATAAAAAATATTTATAAGTTTTACATAAGTTAAAATAAATTTTTTTTTTAGCAAATTAGTTAAAGAACAAGAATCAGGAATTTTTTACCAGTCTCTTCCTCAAGAAAATTTAAAAATTCTTTTTAAAATGGCATATGTGTTAGTGCAGAGTTCTAAATTTAATTGGGTAAAAGGAGCCAATGATTTGCATGACTTTACATCTGTTGCCCTAACTTTGTGCAAAAAAGGTTTGTGTTCTTTTTCTAATGTTATCAATTAAAAAAATAACATTGATTTAAATTTTAATAAAAATATTCTTGTGTTCAGTGTTATATATTTATATTTAATTATTTAATTTTCAGATAGCATTTGTGATTATCTAGCAATGTGTTGCTTAATGCGTTTTGTTGATTTACTTGGATCACAATGTGAAAGTTCAGATTATCAAGATGATCCTAAAAAGTAATTTTAAGTTGTGATAGAAGAGTTAGGTTACAGTGGGTCATAAGGAGTTGTGAATCAGTTTTCTCATAAATATCATAAATTATAAGTTTTGAGACTTAATATCAATTATTTTCCATTTGGAGTGTTTCATTATAATATTTCTTGAATAATATAAGTTAGTTCTTAAAACTGTTTTACATTTTTTTTTTTAATTTTTATTGTAAATAGTTTCCTTTACTGTGTTTACATTAAAGTAAACCTGCCTAAAGTTAACTATTTGGATCATTTCTAATGCAAAAATGATTTTTTGCACTCCACTCTAAACATTCAGGAAAATAAAACTTTAATAGATAAGATCACTTAAGTACACCAAGTTTTCTATGACCTCTTAAATTTATGCCTTAGACATGGTTGGGTTTAATTTAAGATCTATTTGCAAAGAATGGTTGAGCTCTGCTACTGCACCTCTACCTTTTTATATTCACAATATGAATTAGTGTTAATTTACTGTACTCCTGGTTGTCATTCACTGTACTCCAGGTTGTCATTCACTGTACTCCAGGTTGTCATTCTTTGTACTCCAGGTTGTCATTCATTGTACCCTAACTCTTTCAACATTTATATCTATAATTATTATAGTTAGTAAACCTTTTATATCTATAATTATTATAGTTAGTAAACCTTTTATGTCTATAATTATTATAGTTAGTAAACCTTTTATATCTATAATTATTATAGTTAGTAAACCTTTTATATCTATAATTATTATAGTTAGTAAACCTTTTATATCTATAATTTGTTATAATTTGTAGGAAACTAAAATTGTTTAACCAATTTAGTATATTAAGAAAATGTTCTAAAAATATTTTTTATTACAGAGTTGAAGGTTTAATTCATGAGTGGATTCTTGACGAGTATCATGATGATAGTCTGGTCATATCTTCATCTGCAGTCCTTCCTCTGATGCAAAATCTTGTTTCTTTGAGTATTTTTGGTATGTTCTATAAAATCTTTTTAAAAAGTTTTTTTTTTTTTTGTATGTTGTAAATTATTTTCATTTATTATTTCCATTACTTTGGAATTTTTAGTTCCTTCTGAAGATGTATTGCTTTATGATTCAACTCGATTGACTGGCAGTGGTGTTCAATGTAGCGGTATTGCTCTTTCATCTTTTGTTGTTTTTTAATGATTGTTAGTTTGTTATAATACATTGTGTATTACATCATAATTGTGTATTACATCATAATAGTGAGGCATTATTTAATTATAGTTAAAGAAAACAATCAAGGTGGAACAACTACTATTCCAAAAATTTTGGAGTTGATTAAAACTCTTCATGGAGTCAATGAATTGTTATTAGAAAATAACCAACAAGAACTTGCTTTACAACTTTTAATGCTTGTAATTTATGTCACTTGTTGTTTGTCACATTTTCATTTATTTTTTTTTGCTTTATTTATTTATTTTTTCTAGCTTTGTTTTATTTTTTAAATTTTATTTTAGGGAGTATCAATATGTGCCCAGCACGCTTCAAATCTTCAAATGGGTATTCCGATCGATATTGAAAATGATGCATCTTTAGTAGAGGTGATTAATTTTTTTTATTTTTTTATGTTATAAATGATTGTATTTGTAAACCTTGCCTTATTAAACCTTGGTTATTTTTGTAAACATGGCGTTATTTTTTTTTATGTTGTGTATTTTTTGGCTCCTTGTGTATGATGTAGCGGTTTGTGGTAATTGTTAGTAATGGTGTTTAATATCATGTTAGCATTTATGAATTTTTAAAATTCATCATCATCAAAATATTTATCTCCCATTAGTTATCGTGCCATTTTTTTCCCCAACTATTTATCTCTATTTTCATACAAAATAGAGATAAGAAGTTGTATGAAACTTATTCATACAACTTCTATCTTTATAGTTTTGCAATTTTCCTTCCGGCTGCTTTTATTAAACAATTAAACTATTTCCACTGTTCACAGGTAAACAGGAGCTTGTTAAATTTTTTAAAATAAATATCTTGTGGGGTTTACAGGGGCTGGTTTATTTAAAGTCAACAAAAATTCATTAACTTTTTATAAATCATACACATACATACAGTCAGAAAAATTCAAACAAAACATTTTATTATGAAAATTAAACTTTGATTGGTTATTTAAGAAAAAAATAACTTATAATAAAAAACAGTCTGATTATTCTGAAAGAAAATTTCATCAAGAGTTCAATAAGCAAAAAAAAAATTACAATGATTACATTTAATTGCTGAAAATTAATAATAAATTTAAGCTATGCAATTTTTTATCATTAAAGAAGTATCCAAACAAAATTTTTAAAATTAAACTCTAAGTAACTATTTTTTTAGTATGAAGTTTTAACCTTTTATGACTACTGCAAGTAGGGTTGCAAATTTTACGGAAAATTTGGAAATTTTCAAAAAAAGATAAGTTATTTTATAACTAATGGGTAAAATTTTATGTCTTAGTTAGGCAGTTGTTATGGACAATTTTATGGTAAAGTATTGTGAAGCAGATCTTACAAATTTTAGAAAGCCCTCTTTAAAAAACACTTTTTATGGTATTTTTTTGAGTTTTAACTATTTATAGCAACTATGATTATTTGTTTTTAAAATTTTCTAAAACTTTATCTTGTTATTTGCATATTGATGTTCATTATTTTTTTGCTAAATTTAAACTATTCAAAAATAAAGTTAGCAATAAAAATAAAGAACTAATGATTTTGAGATCATAAGTCCACCACTATGTTTAAATAAGTGTGTTTAAGCCGTAGCGCAGCGGTTAGCGCGCTTGCCTCAGAAGCTAGAGATCCGTTGTTCAACCCCACCTCTAGGCAAGTTTTACAGCATTGGTAAGAGGTATAAACTTCCTTTCAAATACGCTTCCATGGTGTTCTGTGATAAGACTGTAAGGTCATCTTGGGGCACCAAAAATAAAAAAAGTCTCACTTGCCACACATTACTAGGACACTTTTAACTTTATAAATCAATATATTAAAAATGATGAGGGGGGGGGGGAGGAATCTGTAAAAAGTACCATTTCTTAAAAATAAAATTAAAAGAGGTTCATAAAAACTAAAATTCACCTGACTGAATTGTGTCCAATACCTGACTAGCTGACTAAATTTGTCAAAAAACCGACTATAACTTAAAAATCACCTTCTTTACAGGGGTAAAACATCCCCTTTCTCCACACACCCTCCCCCAAAAATTATCTTTGTATGTAATATGTATGCATAAAAAATCTTTATTTAAAACACTTTACAAAAATACATAATAAAATTTAATAATTTAAAAAAGACTTTATTTTTTGTAATTTTTATGAATATTTTACATCGTATTTGAGAGAAGTAAAAGCTAGAAATATGTTATACACAAGCTCAAAAGACAAGCCAACATCAAAAACTTTGATGTTTTACAAAAGTAATGTAAGTAAAAGTAACATACAACAACTTGAGTGTTTTATTGTTGTTGTTTTTTTTAAATGCGTGATTCTTAAATTGACTATAAAAATTTGACTAAAAGATGTAGGTTTTTTGCTTGTGGGTCTTTGTTATTCTATATTTTTTGTTGAATTATTTAAAGAATACCTAAATACTACAATGATAAAATGCATATTTTTGAAACAAAGAAATGAATTTTTTAAAACTATATGTATATATAACTATGAAGTCTATAAAAATTTCCGGAAATTTTCAACCCTATATGCAAGTAAACATGGCATTGATTCAACTAATTTCTTTGTTGTATCTGAATCGATATGAGTTCAAGCTTCTTGGAATAAGATCTTTAGCTCTTCTTCTCTTTTTAGACATTGCGTGTCACATTTTTAAACCAGAATAGTCCAGAGGTGTTCAATGGGATTGAGATCTGGACTTTGAGCCTGCCATTGATACATGCATACATACATACATGCATACATACATACATACATACATACATTCATACATACATACATACATACATACATACATACATACATACATACATACATACATACATACATACATACATACATACATATCTATACATTATAGGTACTATTATAATTATATTTTATTTTACATTAGATAGAGAAATGTATTGAAATTGAGTTAAAAGCAGCCCAAGTTATTCTTGAAAAAGCAGAAGTAAAGCTCACAGAATCGTGCTCAAATCTTGTCCGCTCTGTACGATTTTTATTTTACTGTTTCTTTAAATTTTAATTTAAAACAATAATTTATGAGGTTTGAGTTGTTTACAAGTTTAAAAAAATCTTTATCTACTTTTTTTTTTTTACTGTATTTTAAATTGTTGTGAAAACAGAAAGTATTTTATGGCTTTCTTTGTTTGAAATTTTTCTACAATAGTGTTATATACATCTTTTAATAATAATTTTTAATTTAAAAAACTTACAATAATTAATTTTTCTTCATTAGACATTTTTTTTTCTTCATTAAACTTCTTAATAATTTTTTTTTTGGATTTAGATTCTTGGACATCGTGTTGTTGATCACGATTTAGCTTTATGCTATTTAGATCCACTTTCATTAAAAGAGGGAACTCAAATTTTATTGCAATTGAAAAATAAATTTGGTAGCAAGTATAATAGAATTCAAGTAAAAATTATTTGTTTTTTCAACTGTTTTTTTTTTTTTATGTATTTGCTAGTTGACACAAACATTTGTGTTTACAAAAGATAAACAAAAACAATTTTACAAACTACTGCTTTTAAACAAGTAGCTTGTTTTGATATATAAATACAAATGTTTTTAGTTCAAGTGGAGACAAGTTTTAATGGTTAGACAGGAGCAAACATTTATGTACACATTTAATTATTTAGTTCAAGCAAAAACATCTGGTAATGTGTTTTGTTTTCATGAACAAATGTTTTATATAAACACAAACTAAATATAAAAAAAAAATATAAAACAAAACTAAATCTGATCAAAAATAACCTTTTTAGAAATGGTCAAAGTTTTAGAAATGGTCAAAGTTTTAGAAATGGTCAAACCTTTTTAGAAATGGTCAAAGTATGTCATATGGTCTTTTACAAATTAAAAATAATGTTTTGCAATAATTACAAGCAAAGCAAAATTTAACATAATGTTAAAACATAAGGAACTATGTTTTGTTGTTAAATAGATTGACCTTCAATCCAGAGTAAGTAGCTAAAAAATCGAAGTCTGCAATCTTTATCTTTTCTTCTCAATGGTCAGACATTGATCTTTTGATGAAAGTGTAACTTTGATACCAATAAATGTTACTTAAAAGTAAAACTTGTCACCATTTTGACTGTTTTTATTTGTAGAGACTTACTTAAATCAATAATGATGACTCCAACAGATTTTTATTGTTTCAGTTGATTTTTTAAAACAAAACAATCAATTGATTTTTTACTAAAGCTATGTTAAAACTGGGTAAAATATTATTTATCAAAGTTTTGATTAGCAAGGTTTAATGAAAAGTAAGATATTAATAAATTAGATTTTATAATATTTTTACTTTTTATAATAATAAAATTCTTTTATTAATAAAAATAAAAAATAGTTTTTATAACATATTTTTGTATTTTTATAACAATAAATATACAAAAAAACATTTTTGCTTTATTTAGTGTTAAAAAGAACTTTATTCATAATAAAATAATAGTGAATTATTTTGTTTTAAGTTGTTAGGTTACTAAAGCCAAAAACTGCCTTCAAAAACTTTTTTGCTTTAAAAGAATTTTTTAAAAATATAAAAAATTGCCAAAATTAAATTTCAACTTAAATGATTTAAAATTTTTTTTGTAAATAGAACAATAGGGTGTCCCATTCTGCAAAATTTTCGAATTACCATACCAATTTTTAAATTGAGGTTAAGACTAAGAAAAAAAAAAAATACTTACCAAGTATTTTGAAAAAATATAAAAATTTGTCCCCCACTCAGAAAAAGTTAAAAAAATCCTTTTTCATTGTTTTTTTTTGAGTATTTTTGCTTAAAATGTTACAGGGTTATTCATTTTTATATGCGTGTCTATTCATTTTTATATGCGTGTTTATTCATTCTTATATGCCCATTTATTTATTCTTATATGCGTGTTAATTTATTCTTATATGCATGTTTATTCATTCTTATATGCGCATTTATATGCGAGTCAACCACCCAAAAATCTCTAATATAATTTAATATAAACAATAAATAGGCTTTTAAATTTTTTTATATAGATATATTAATAATAATTAAATTTAAATCAAGATAATAAGTAGATAAATAATAATTTAAGAGGCTCATTTGCGATGGTCTAACTCTTTTGTTAAATACCAAAGGTGTCTTGTTGCAAGAATGAATGGCTGCATCAGAAGCAATTTTGTCTGTATTATGGTACCACTGCATATCAACGATGTACTAAAAATCAAGTGCAATAACTGAGATGTGACTTTGTAAAAAAGTTTTTGTGTAAAAAAGAGCAATAAAATTATTTTCAATTTATGACATTGATCCAGTTCAAGCATGTTGATCCAAAATGACAAGTTTCAAGATGTACAGCTAATTGTCCACCTAGTTTTTTGAAGTTAAGCATTTTACCTTTAAGCAAGTCCCCTCCATAATATTATGAACTGTCAGTTCAAACAATTATCATAATCGGTCCTTGAAAAGATCTCTTCTAGGCACCTACTAACCCAGTTCAGAACTAGTGTTGCCTGGCAATGAATAGGATGTTTCTCTTCCAGCCAAGTTTTGTTATATCTGTAGGCATGGAAGAAATAGAATCCCAAATGTTTGTTTTTAAATATTTTGGTATTTTTCAATATTTGCATTTCCAAACACTTAAAATAGTAATCAAGTAATAAATTAATCATCCATTTACAAGTAAGTGACGAAACAAGTTTTGAATTCCAGCTACTGGATGGATGAAGATGATGTTTCTCCTGATATTTCTTCTTCATTTGGGCACCTTGTTTTTCTTGAACTGATGATTGCGAGATTGGAAAATGATGTAACAAACCATTACAAACTTTCACGATTTTCGCTTCAACAGCTATTTGATCTCTTATGCTGAGGCCTAATCAGTCGAAGACATCAGTGAATGATTTTGTAGAATTATTTTAGAATAACAGTATCCCTGATACCTAATTTATTCTCTAGTCCAAATCCAATAAAGTAATCTTGATGACGATTTTGTGTGCATCTTGCTTTTAAGTCTTTTTTGTCTATTAGAAAATATTTCCTAACCTTAATTCGTATATTAAACTTACTGTTAACACAAAAAGCTTACAGCAAAATATTTAAAACATTAATTTATTAAAACCACTATTTAAACAAATTATATTATAGATTATGTCAGAATCTTATTATTTAATAATATTGTTATTAAAACTAAATAATAGTAATATTAACATTAAAATGTTGAAAATTTTAATATTAAATTTACTGCTAAAACAAAAACCTTAAAACTTACAAAATTATGTACCGCGCTGAGAAAGAAACAACATAAAAATAAATTTTCCTCATACTAAGCGTCCAATTTAGATGTGAGCATTGTTTTAAAATAATTAATCGGTTAAAATAAGACAATCAAACTTATTTATTTAGACACATACCTTTCTATTATATATGTTTTATGAATACATTTTTATATTGTCCCAAATTTAAGCCTTACAGTTAATAACTAATTTCTGTCGTTGCCAAATTACAAAACCACTTGATTATTTTATTTTGGGGGACCTTTGAATTTTGGGGGAAATTTGAATTTACTTTAAGTCAATTTTTTTATATTGTATAAATAAGATAGTAAATTATAAAAAGTGTGAAAAAAAGTGTGAAAAGCTAAAGTTGTTACAGAATATTTGTTAATATTTTAAACAAAAATACTCAAAAAAGACAATAAAAAAGGATTTGCTTAACTTTTTTTAAAAGGGGGGACCCCTAAATTTTTATATTTTTTGAAAATACTTGGTAAATATTATTTTTTTCTCAGTCTAAACCTCAATTTAAAAGTTAGTGTCGTAGTTCAAAGATTTTGCGGGAATGCAACACCCAATTTACAAAAGTTTTAAAAAATCATGGAGAAAAATTAGTGTTTTGCATACATTAATCAAAATTTTACAAATCATGTTTATTATTAAGACAGCACTTTTAGTTCATTTTTTAACTTTTAACACTTTTAACTTTAAACATTTTTTTTTTAGCATATTGCGCAGGTTGGTGTAGATTTTGCAGCTCTTCAAAATGATATAAACTTGAAGAAAAAATGTCATGCATTTAAAGAATCTGCAGTGTGGGGTCGTAAACTTCAAACACTAAGAGTAAGTACTCTTAGTCTAATTTTTTTCATTTTTTTATTTAGTTTGTTCATTATATAATATTTCCTTACATAATTTGTTTATTTATATTTATTGTTGTTTATATTTATTTAAATTGTTATAAAAAACTAATTGGTAAACATGATTTTAATTAATTTAAGGTCCCTCCTCCATGGAATATTTATTCTGTCAACTCGGATCCTGTTGAACGTCAAAGAATTTTAGAAATCATAGTGCAGCATAAAGATATTGATTTATCTTCTATTTCATTATATTGTCAGTAAGTTTTTTTTATATTGTCAGTAAGTTTTCATTATATTGTCAGTAAGTTTTCATTATATTGTCAGTAAGTTTTGTTTTACTATATTGTCAGTAAGTTTTGTTTCATTATATTGTCAGTAGGTTTTATTATTTTATTTTTTGTGAAAATTATTTTTATTTTTACTTTTTTTTACTTGGTTTTTAATGAACTTTTTTATTGATACTTGAAAAATAAATTTTTTGAAACATATCATTAAATCATATTGGTATGAATATACAGTTAGGGCCATAAAGATCTGAATACTCAATATTTACAACAAAAAGGTTTTTTTTTGCTGTATAGTGTATGCATTAATCACTGAAAAACATTTTATTTCAAAAAACAACATGCATGCATGTAAAAGAACTTAGAAATCAGTTTATTAAACATGTTTTAGTACTTTGTATGGGCTCCTAGTACTTTTAAAACATCCTTTATTCTTCATCCCATTGAGGAAGCAAGAGATTAATAATATTTGGGCATTATTTAAAGACACTTTCATAATAGTTTTTCTCAGAACTGTGAGTGGGTTTTGTTTAGAAACTTCTGCTTTTCATTTTTACTCAACAGTTTTCTTTCTCGACAATTTTTTAATGTACATGACATAACATGACATCAGACAAAAAATGTCGAGACAATTTTTGTCCGATGTCATGTTATGTCATTTACATTAAAATATGAAACATTCTGATTTTAAAACCAATTAGACATATTTTACTTCAAAACACCTTATTTACAAAAATATCTTAGTAATTTCCCAGATTGAAACCTTGTTGATTGACTTTGTGTGCTACAAACTGCTTAACTTGTGCTTTGTCTGAGATTATGATGCGATGCCACATTTTAACAGGCCAATCCTTGCGTTTTTTGGAGTTTTCAGGTGATCACACAAATTTTTTCTAGAAAGCGTAGGCTTCAATGCAACAAGGTGCTATCAAAGTTTAATGTTTTTGGCAAGGCTTCTGTGAACTGTGTGGATACTAACATTTATACTAGAAGGTAGTTAAGTAAGAGTTAGTGAACTTAAATCTGTTGTCGGATTTTGGAGTGGTTCTTGTATTATCACAGGATTTTTCTCGATTAATGCCATCTGTTGACTTAATGTGTTGAATAATATTGTGGAGTAACATTTGTCTTAGGAAAATATACAGCAACAATTCATTCAGACTTGCTGCCTTCTTTTATAAGTTGTATTTGTGTATGTTTAGCAGGGGATGTTATTGCCCTACTCTAATGTCATTATGTTTGAATTACACACAATTTTAATGTATATAGACTATATAAAATATTTTCTATTGTTTGAAAACTATGCAACAAATAATTGTTTAGTGTGTTGCCATATTTTGTATTTTTAATTAGTTATTATAATAATTACAAGTGGTCACATCTTTTTGGTCAAAATTGTATATCATTAAATTTAAATATATTTTTTCTATTGTTTTAACATATTTTATTAGATCTTTAATTTTAAAATTTTGTTTTATTAGATCTTTTAGTTTTGATGAAGAAAAAGCGTTACTCATGTATATTGGAAATCTTCTTACACCTACAAATTCTATGAAGCCACAGTTTCACAGTAACTATCAAGAAAAAATCGATGAAGCTATTCATATTTTACGCAATTATGAAAATCTTGAAAGGTTTATGAACAATGCTATTATAAAGGTTTTTCTTTTTTCTTTAATAAAATTTTTATTGTTATTTTAAAAATTCTTAGTAACAAATAAATTAGTTATCTATCATATAAAATAAATTGATATTTTAATGAAATGCCAACCAACACCTAAAAGAAAAAAACACCTTTGTATAAAAAAACTAAATAACTTATTACTGGAATTGAAGTCATCGTATAATACAAACACAAGTATATGCACAGGCCTACATGCCTGGTTAAAAATTTTTAACCAGGTATGTTGGCCTGGTTAAAACATAAATATAATAATTTATAAAGGTAAGATATGTATTTGTATTACTGTTAAATTTACATTGACTTATATGTATTTAAAAAAAAAAGTTATATAAATTTTTTTTAATTATCTACTTTTGAATTTTTTCTTATTTTTTCTTATCTATTACTTATCTAATTACTTTAAAATTAATATTCTTTGAGATTTTTAAATAATAAGCCAGAAATTGCCTTTTTTTTAACTTGACATGAAAAATGTTTTCAGGGTATGAGTTAATTTTTTAAAGTTAACGTTAACTTTTTAAAGTTAACGTTAACGTTAAAGTTAACACTCAAAACACACTTTTATTTATCTAAGTTATTTTTAAGGGGTTTTGAGTTGATAGGTGAAATGTATAGTTTAGACAAAAATGTAAGAAATGTATAGATTTTGTGATTGGTTTAAGATATAGGTGATTTGTCATATAGTCTTTTACTATATGACAAATCACCTATATCTTAAACCAATCACAAAATAGTTTTTTTCATTCGTTTTATTGTGATGTAAGATTTTTTTTCAGTTTTTTTTTTCAAATTTCTTAAAACATCCATAAAATGACTTAGGTGATTGTGAAATACTAAAAAGCAAATCCAATGTCAGTTTGAAATAAAATCTGCTGACTAATAGAAATAGTTGACATGATGTAGGTTATACATCCATAGTATGTTACCTTAGGAATAATTTAGACTTTTACAGTTTTAAGTACATACAGATAATGACTAAGGGTTTTAACAAAGAGTATGCACATTTGTTATGTCTTACAAAGGCACATACTACTTGTCAAAATCCAAACCCTTAGTCAATACTGTGTTTAATCAATACTGTCTTTTCATTATTATTTAAAAAATTAAGGTTAATTTAATTTTTATTTAAACCTTAATTTTTCACTTTTTTCATTTCACAATTTTTTGTAAAACACTCAAAACTATCAATAATAATATTCATTTCAAAAGTTTATTTTGATGATTTTTTAAAAAATTTTTGAACTATTATTTTTTATACATAGATTAGTCCTTATGATTATGAGCGTTTGGCTTATACGTTTAAAAAAATTGCAGACGTTACTGAAAACAATGACCGCAAAATCACCTGTGATGATGTAAGAAATTTTATTGAAATTAATGCATGTGTATGTATGTGTATATAAATAAAGATTTAATATTAATTTTTTTTTTAGAACATCAGGCTTTTAGAAATGCTCTCTGAGTATAATCGCACAGCAACAGATATATGTTACAACATGGAATCTGCAACAATGGCTGATGATCTTGATGAAGATCAGGTTATTTTCTAATATTATTGAAAAACTAAACAAAATAGAGTACAACTTTTTATGAATATGTAATAGAAGCATGAGTTTACAAACATATATGTGACCATGTGTATTTACTAACATGTGTTTACTTTATCTACTTTCTTAATTTTAATTTATGTTTAGATTTTGTTGGGAAAGTTAGTTCCACCTGAAGTTGTTAAAAAGAGATTACCTTTCCATCCACTTATTAAAAGCAAGATTCAATGGAGTGTTCTTGGTTGTTATTTGTTATCTTTATTTTACCAACAGTTTCATATTTTTAAAATAGGCCTTTTAATAAACATTATATTTTTATATTGCATTGTAGGATTGCTTAAATAATAACTAAATATATATTGAATTTATAATATTTTGTTATTAAAATTTTGTGTCATATCAAACTCAGCAGTTGTAGGATGATATCTACAAACACTTCAGTTATAATGCTCTTCATAAAAATTTTATTTTTCAAAGTCTTAAGTTTGTTAAACAAATTTTTATGTTAAATTAGATATAAAAAATGTAATTAAAAGGTATATAATAAAAAGCTGCAAAATTTATTATGCTTATTTATAAAGTATAGTCTGTGTTTAATTTTTAGATTAAAACTTGTAAAAACCTTTAAAAACTTGTAAAAAAAGTTATTAGATAAAGTTATTTAAAAGAGTACAATCTCAATTTTTCTAATATTTTTAGTAACATATTATGACTCAGTTAAATTTTTTTTTATTAGATTCTGAGTTAACTTCCGAAAAAAATTTATTGCAACTTGAACCTATTGCTAATATGCTTAAGGTAGTTTTTTAAGGTTATGTTTAATGGTTAATATATGTATGTATATATATATATATATATATATATATATATATATATATATATATATATATATATATATATATATATATATATATATATATATATATATATACACCTTGTACAGAAAGTTTAAACGCACTTGTTTTTTTAATGTACATAATACTTTTAAGAAATGATAACCCAATAAATTGATAAGATGTACTCTGTATTTTTATGTTTATTTATTTACTATGCCCATAATTTATTAATTTAGAGAGAAAAAAAATTGTATGGATATTTTAAAGGAGGTATAGGGTAATGAGAAAACTAACAGAGCAATTAACTCTTTTTAATTTTTTGAAATGAATTTTAAACTTTGATGAGAAAACTTGTAATACTTATTTATTAAGAGATTTTTTATTGAAGTTTTTCGTATTTTTATTGCTCATCAGCCTGTTAGCATTAGGATATTTCATCTGGATCGCTATTCTTACTTTTTTTTAAATAAAAACCGCAACTACAATTTGATTCAAAATTCAGCAATTTTCAACTGATCCAACATTGTCAAAATATCATAATTTCATGGGTAAAAGAGCTGTTTTGTCAAAAACAAAAGTCATTGGAATGCATAAAATGAAAATAAGCAATAGAGAAATTGGCAGACGCCTAAATATTTCTGAATTCAATGTTTGTACACAAAAAGTTATTTATCAAATGGTCAATGATAAACCTCGTACTGGGCGTCGAATAAACTGACAGCACGCGATGAAAACATGCTTTGCATGCTAAGGAAACATAACCCAAAAGCAGGAGTATCAGCTTTAAGTGCAGAAATCAATAGTTCGCTGGTAGACAAAACAATTAGTGGAATGATAATAAGTAAGTTATTACGCTAGAAAGAACTAAATTTGTTTCATGGTGTAAGAAAACCTTTGTTGATGTTAGCTGATCGCTAAAGGCAAAAAAAATGGTGCAAAGAGCATTTAAATTATTCAGTGAACAATGGAAAATGATTATCTTTAGTGATGAATCAAATTTCAAAATTGTTAACAAAAAAACAAACAAGAGATTCGTTCATCGCAAAAAAACAGAAAAATATTTGAAACAACACCTAACTAAGCTGTGTTCAGAAAGTTGGTGGTTCTGTCATCTTATGGAGATGTATATCAGGCTCAGACGTTGGCTGTCATAAATTATACGAAAGAAGATTGAACCAGTATGAGTATTGTGACATTTCGGAAAACATGCTTATCCCTAATCGTGATTTTTTCCAGGCTGATCAAAACTGGTTATTTCAACAAGACAGTGCTCCATGCTATACAGCACATTCAATCACTGATTATTTTCTTAAAAATAATACTTGACTCATGTCTTGGCCAGAACGATCACCAGACTTATACCCAATCGAAAAAGTATGGAGCTGGATGGATTATCAACTAACAAAAAAGCAAATAACTAGTCACAAAATACTCAAACAAGAACCAAACTGTAGCTTGAAATACCAATCAAGATGATTAAAAAATTAATTGAATCAATGCCAAGGTGAATACAAGCATGTATTAAAAACAACGAGGGTCATATCCTGTATTAATATATTTCGATTAAAAGAAGTTGTAAGTACATTTTTTAAATTTATTTAAAAAACTTTTCTGAATAACGTTTGAATAGCATAAGATTGACAATTACTTAAAATTCGATAATAAAGTTTTTAACACGCATCATTAAATATCTTTTGATTACTTGAGTTTGTTATTTCTTTTCAGAAAGGTTTTGTGTTTTTTTTACTTCAAAGTTGTGTTTTTTTCTTAAATATAATCTGCTAAGAAAAAAACCCTGCCTCATGTTTTATCTTTGTACCACTCTAAACTTACCTTAACTTTTAAAAAGACAAGTGCGTTTAAACTTTTTGTATAAGGTGTATATATATATATATATATGTATATATATATATATATATATATATATATATATATATATATATATATATATATATATATATATATATATATATATATATATATATATATATATATATAATACTAAAATGACATCTTTTATTAATTTCAAAGTTAAATACAGACCAAATGTTTGCAAAAGCTGTTCAGAACATCGCTGGTCCAAATCTGATGAAAAATCAGCAACAGTTGGAAGGACGATCATTTGAGTTTGAGTCCGTTGAAAATATTTTGAATATGATTAAAAATCACACTGTAATGATAGCAGCAGCTAAATGGTTGGCAAAATATTTGCCGCGAGGTAAGTTGCATATTTTTTGTAGTTGTATAGATTTTCTGGGTCCTGTATTTAATTATATTAACATATATTTTTTATATAATTATATTTTTTTCAACAGGAACTGAAAAAACAAAAGTTTTAGAAGCTATTGTTAAACGAACAAGTGTTTTGGTTGCAGAATCTAATGGAGAAGTAAGAAACTGCAATTAATAACTTTTTACTTTTTTTTTTTTTTTTTTTTTTTCGCTTTTCTTTTATTCTTGTAGTTTTTCCATCATCTGTTGTCATAAATCTAAAGATAAAAAAAAATAAATCTAAAGATAAAAGCAAGATTAGAAAAAGATTAAAAAACTTATATTTTTTCTTAAGATCAAAAGAGCATCCACCTTAATCAAAACTCTCAGTTAATTTACACTCCACTTTTTTTGTTGTTGATGTATGTACACTTAGCTGATACACCCTAGACACAGTTCATACACTGATACAGCTATGCCTATGGTTAGATAAATCTTGTGTGTGTATATATATATATATATATATATATATATATATATATATATATATATATATATATATATACACACACACACACACATATATATATATACACACACACACACACACACACACACACACATATATGTACTCTTTTAAAAATAATACAACTTTTTTAATGTTGTATAGTCATCATCAGTTAAATAGTATATAATTTACAGTTATATACTATTTCAAATAGTATATAACTGTAAATTCAGTTATAAATAGTATATAATTGTAAAAATAAAGATAATAAAAGCCATAAAATTGATAAAAAATTTCCTATATATACAAAAAGAATTATTAAAAATTATTTTAACAAATGTCAAATATAACAAAAGGTAAATTGTATTAAATGGTAAGAGTCATTTTAACATGATTATGATTATATTTACTTGTTTATTCATATTGGGTTATTCCCATCCTATATAAATAATTTCTTTAATTTTTAATTCAATTTTGTCATATTTCAATCTCATTTAAAGGGATCCCTAATTGCCGAGACAAGTTGTGTTCATATTAAAGAAAATGTTTAAAAAAAATATTTGGGCTAAATTTTTTTGATCAAAACTATATAATGAATGCACACCATTAAAACATTTGCACACCATTAAATTTTAAATTCACGTTTTAGTTGAAGCTCGCCGTCTCCATTTTTTTTTTGGTTTTCGGAGTCTGTATAATGTTAGCAGCAATCTGCAGACTTGATAATTTATTCCATGCGTGTTTAATTCATAACAATTTCAGTATAAGACGTCATCGTAGAATTTTTTCTTTCAAGATATTATTTTTTTGTCAAATTCACCAAATCATGTTAATTGTACAACTTTTTACTAAATCCCAAAAAAAGTTTATGATGCAATTAAAAATTAAATTTATAAAAATAAAAAAATTTGATAAATAACGAATATTTACAGTAAAATGTAATGGTTTAAACTAAATATAAACTAGATACAAAAAGATTAATTTTACAAAAGGGTATAAATTAATTTAAAGTATAAACTGAAAAAAAACGAGTGACTTGAATAAAACATATTAACTGAACTAAGTAGAAAATAAATATTAAATGACTTATTTTACTAATAACCGTTCAAATCAAACTAAATTAAAGTTTAAACAAATATTTTTACTAAAATTATACAAGAAATAGTTATTATATAAATATAAAAACAAAGAATCGCATTAAATTGTTGGCTAACAGCCAAACAAAAATATTTTGTAGCAACCGCACATTTTTTTGAATAACGTTTGAATAGCATAACATTGACAATTAATTAAAATTCGATAATAAAGTTTTTAACACGCATCATTAAATAATAAGAAATGCAAAGTGCTTAAAGCTATTGTTTTTGTAAGTAGTAACTAAAACAATAAGTCCAAAACAAACCTCATTTAATTAATAAAAATTTTCTTCAAAATACTTTGGTAATTACTTATTTATTTGAATAATTTTTTAGTAAATCACAAATATTTTTTGTGATTTAGTAAAAAGTTATAAAAATATTTTATTTTCTAATTGTAGTAGAAAAAATACTTATACTTTTAAAAAAATAACAACAAAAAAACGCTATCTTAAAAAGATTTTGCGATGATGTCATATACCGAAATTATTATGAATTAACACGCATTGAATAAATTATGAAGTCTGCAGATTGGAGCTAACAGTATACAGACCCCGAGAACCAAAAAAAAATTGAAGAAGGCAAGCTTCAACTAAAACAATAATTTTAATTTTGTTGGTATGCATTCATTGTTTAGTTTCAATCAAAAAAAATTTAGCCCATATGTTTTATTTAAACATTTTCTTTGATATGAACACAATTTGTCTCGGCAGTTGGGGATCCCTTTAAATGATTCAAATCATCAAAGAAACCTTGACTTTTGAGTTTCTTTAAGAAGTTTTAAAGTTGCGTTTTCCTGTTAATGGTGAAGTCTTTTTTTAATTGTTTAAGTTTAGTTGGATCATTAAAATAAATTTAAAGACTTAAAAAAAGACATCACCATTAATATGGAAACGCAACTTCAAAACTTCTTAAGGAAACTCAAAAGATTTCTTTAATAATTCGAATTATAATAAAATTTATCCTACAGGCTCTTGTCCTGCTTGCATATAAGGTCTTCTGAATATGCACAAATTAAGATCTTCTGATCATAATATAGGTTTTTGACCTATTGTATTGTCTATTGGCACTTATGACTATCATTTGGCTAGATTTCTTCAAGGTTTATCATCTCCATTAATAGTCTGAATTTTGTACTAAAGATTCTTTCAACTTTTTTAAAAGAAGTATACGAAGTGAACCTATATATCAGCTTTCTTGTATCTTTTGATATCACAAGTTTATTCACAAACATTCCATTACAACCAACAATATATATTGCTGTCAATGTTATCAAAAAAAAATACAAATCTTAAAATCAACAAAAATAATTTAAAAAAACTCTTTCTTTTTGCAACAGTACAAATACATTTTCACTTTAAAGAACAAGTTCATGACCAAATTGATGGTGTTGCTATGGGTTCTCCGTTAGCACTTGTACTTGCTAATCTGTTTATGGGTAATATTGAAGAAAATTGGGTCAAATCTTATAATGGAGAAAAACCGTTGTTTTACAAACGTTATGTAGATGATATTTTTGCTGCTTTCTCCTAATAAAACTGCATAATTTTATTCTTGGATTACATTAGCAAAGAACATTATTTAATATCTTTTTACCATGGAAAAAAAAGAAAACTCAAAAATATATTTTTTGGACATAACTATGCAATTCGAACAGTTCAACAATTACAACAGTTTTTCATAAAAAAAAAAACTTTATTTTACTGGACACCAACTACTGATTTAATTCATTTTCATATAAAATCTTATCAAATGTTTTATTGATAGAACTTTCAAAATTAACAATACTATCCTTGGTCTCCTTTAAGATATTAACAATCTTTTCAAAATTCTCAAATGTAATTAGGGGCTATTCTAGGAAGAAAATTTGGGCGGCAGTACCTCCCCTCCCCCACCGGTTTGGCAGACAGCGGAAAATTGGCTTTTTTTTTGCAATTTTGCCGTAAAAACATTAAAAAAAGTTAAAAAAAAAAAATCCTTAAATTTTAATTTGGGCTGCCCCAAATCAGTGCCCAAATATGGTTGACGCTGTTGAAAACGGTCTAGAATAGCCCCTGGTAATATGTACTCATCTTTAATAATAAAAAAAATCCACTTACTTAAATACAGGTAATTGTGTTGTTCTCTTACTTAAATAAAGGTAATTATGTTGTTCCATTACCATCTGAAGACCTAACAAATTCTCGCTATTTTAAACTCCCTTATATTGGTCAAATATCTGAGCTAATAAAGCAAAGACTACACGCAATTATCAAAAGAGATTGTCAGTCGGTTACCATAAAATTAGTATTCACTGTTAAAAGTGTCTTTTTTCATTTAAAGAATTCCTGTAGATTTTAAATCATAAGTTGTTTACAAATTTGTGCAAGTCGTTTACAAATTTGTAAATCCTGTTATGTTGGCAAAACCTCTCGCCACTTAAAGACACAAATGATTAAACACTACAGAAGTGAGAAAAACTCTTTTATTTATAAGCATTTTCACTCAAAAGAAAAATGTTTTGCTAATTATAATGATGAATACTTTTCGATTTTGGATCATGCCAATAATTAAAAGTTAAAGTATTCATATAGGGTATGAAAAGCCCAATATAAATAAACAAGTAAATCATGTTAAAATGACTCTTACCATATAATATAATTTACCGGTTCTTTTGTTATATTTGACATTTGTTAAAATAATGTTTAATAATTCTTTTTGTATATATAGGAAGTTTTTTATCGATTTTATGGATTTTATTTTTACAATTATAAACTATATTTTATACTATTTTTAGCAAATATTTTAACTGATGATGACTATATAAAGTCAAAACATGTCTTGAATAATAAAATGTTTTTAAATAAAATTAAAAAAGTTGTCTTATTTTTAAAAGTATTTTCACAATTTGTGCTGAAAAGAAGTTGTGGAAACATATTGTGTACAACACTAATATATATATATATATATATATATATATATATATATATATATATATATATATATATATATATATATATATATATATATATATATATATATATGTATGTATGTATATGTATATATATATATCAACTCTCGGAATTAGAAAAAATGAGGTCATTAAATTATTGCCGACCTTAATCTTTTTGAGGTCGGCAAAAATTATTTGACACAAAAGTCTGACCATAAAACATAGAAACAAGGTCAGCAATTTTTTGCCGACCCCAAACACTTTCAGGTCAGCAGTTAGGTTGCCATTGCCAAATGCTGACCCGGGTTGATATATATATATATATATATATATATATATATATATATATATATATATATATATATATATATATATATATATATATATATATATATATATATATATATATATATATATATATATATATATATATATATATGTATATGTATTAGTGTTGTACACAATGCAAATTTTTTTCAAAACACCAGGATTTATTTTTTTTCCAATTCTATTATTAGGGTACTATGTAAAAATACTTTTTACAAGATTTTAATAACTATTCTAAACCCTCAACGCCCCTAAAGACAAACCCAGTATTCATG